GATTATATCACTCGCCTTCGGCTCGTGCTATAAACCTCCCACGAGCCAAAAAACTCTTTTCCGCACTCGTAACAAAATATTCTATTTCATCACGCTGTGCGAAAAAGTGACTTTTCTGCCCTCCGGCCGGAAAGCGTCAACTTCCTGGCCGCGGCGCCAAACGAAGTTGCCACTTTCCGGCTGCGTCGAGCAGAAAAATAGTATACACACCTTGGCCAGTAAATAAGAAAGCCTCAGATCACATGTTTGTCGACCTCGGCTTCGCCTCGGCCAACAATTACATGTGATCTGAGACATTCCTTACTTTACTGGCCGAGGTGTGTAATCTACTATTTTAGGCGCGCGAAGCGTCCCTTTTCCAGGCATTGTGATGAAATGGTATATTATGTCATCAGGCGATAAAAGTATTATCTGGCGAATGTGATTATAATCTTCACCTTCGGCCCGGATTATATACCCACATTCGCCAGATGATGCTTTTATCGCCGTGTGACATACGATATTTTATGTCGTTGGGCCCGAAAATCGCGGTTTATCGGGCCTAATGACATAAAATATCGTTCGATAGTCAAGGGAAAAAGGTTTTTTGGTTCGTGGGATTATATCACTGCCTTCGGCTCGTGCTATTAACCTCCCACGAGTCAAAAAACACTTTTTCATCCCGCTGTGACGAAAAGTGAACTTTTCGGCACGCTCCGCGTGCCTAAAAGTCCAATTTCCGCCACATTGTGATGAAAAATATTGTTCGTAACTCATGAAAAAATAAAAAAATAAAATAAATAAAATCGTAACTCATGAAACCTCCCACTCGTCAAAAAATACTTTTTTGCACTCGTTACGAAATATACTATTCCGCACTCGTATCGAAATATACTTATTTTGACACTGCTGCTATGTTCACCTCGTGCCGAAATAGTTANCTGGATTACACACTCGACGCTTCGCGTCTCGTGTCTAATTCAGCCGGTTTCAGGCTTCGTGACATAAAATTTTGTTCAGTACTTGTTGGGAAATTTCGTCCTTAACGTGTGTGGTTACATCACTCGCCTTCGGCTCATGCTGTAAACCCCACACACGTTAAAGACGAAATTGCCCCACACGTGCTGAAATATACTATTTCATCACAAGGTCCACAAAGCCACATTCGTCAGAAAATACTTTTGGACCGTGTGATGAATGCAATTTTTCGTCAGAAGGCCCGTAAACCGCGATCAAACCGAGCGAAGCGAGGTTAGAATCGCGGTTTACCGGGTCTTCTCACGAAACGTGCCTTTTCGTTTACGAGTAAACTAATAGTATATTTCGTAACGAGTGCAAAAAAGTGTTTTTTGGCGAGTGGGAGGTTTATATCACGAGCCGAAGGCGAGTGATATAATCCCACGAGCCAAAAAACACTTTTCCCACGAGTATCGAACGATATTTTTCATCACAATGTGGCGGAAATTGGACTTTTAGGCACGCGGAGCGTGCCGAAAAGTTCACTTTTCGTCACAGCATGATGAAAAGTGCTTTTTTGTATACTCGTAAACAAAAAGACGTTGAAAGTAGTAGCAGTGTCAAAATAGTATATTTCGTTACGAGTGCGGAAAAGAGTTTTTCGGCTCGTAGGAGGTTTATAGCACGAGCCGAAGGCGAGTGATATAATCCCACGAGCCAAAAAACACTTTTCCCACGAGTATCGAACGATATTTTTCATCACAATGTGTAGAAAAGGGACGTTTTAGGCACGCGAAGCGTGCATTTATCGCATACAATAAATTTACTACAAAAAACCACAATCACTTGATGCGAGACAATTCCATAGAATTTGTCGGCAGTACTAATGAGCTCACCTGTTCATTTAAAATACAGGGTGATGACCAGAAAATGATTGGCATAGGGAATTTTACTGAAAGATGTCAATTATTTTCATATGATCTCCAATACATCACGGCTCGTCGTATGACCTTGGAAGCGAAGATAGAGCAAGTAAGTTTGTGCCGGTTCCGGTTGAATTCTGCCGCTAAGCTCAAACATGCACGTGCACATTACTCAACGAAGCTAATTTTCTACGAGTAAGTACTCAATCTTGTTTTGGGTTGCCTCCCTACTTGGATTTAAAATTTTAGTCGTCAAGTTCTCTTAGAAAATAAAATAAATGAAGCGAAAATGTTTTCTTCTAAATATCAATATATAAAATTTACTCATACTTATATATTTAATTTTTTATGCTATAAAATTATATTGAAAAAACTAAATATATGTATATAATTTTTTTTTCATAGGTATATTTTCATTTTTTATATTATAAATTTCTAAATATTGATGGAATTTAACATACGGTTTAAGTGTACTAATCGAAGTTTAAAAATAGTAAAATAATTGATAATCTGCATTTTCAATTGATGATGAATTAAATATTTAAGAATATGGAACTATAAATTTTTTTTAAGTAGATAATACTAAATTTGTTATAAGTGATTTCCGATTATCCAAATAATCGTCAATCTTTCCAACTCAATTACTGATTAAAGAATAATTCAAAATTTGACTATTTAAACTGACGATTACAATTTTAAAAGTTACATTAATTAATTGACAACTTAATAATTCAATAGTAGGGGAGAGTGGGGCAAAATGAAACAGTAAAAAAAACAACTGTTTCACGCAATTCAAGCAAAAAATTTTTTTCATTAAATTTTTTTTTAGTTAAACTTTATTTATTCTGGGGAGTCCTGACGAGAATAATAATTTTCCATTCGGTAGAATGGAAAATTATTGAGAAGTCTTGATGGGCGAAGATTTTGTGAATGGATTATTCGATTGAAATTTCCATTCTACCGAATGGAATATTATTATTCTCATCAGTACCTCCAAGAATAAAAAAACTTGAAAACAAAATTTAACAAAAAAAATTTTCTTGAATGGCGTCAGTCGTTTTTTTATTGTTTCATTTTGCCCCCCTCTCCCCTAATTATAATTTATGGAAACGGCAATCCCTGTTGCTGGCAAAAAACGTTACATTCTTTTTTTAAAGATGAGAATTCGTTACATTTTTTAATGAAATTTTTCCATACCTGAGGATTTGAATTTGCACATCCCGTCCACCCAACTTCGGGTAAAGCCACTCGCAGCTGGCAACACACCGACAAAGCCCATTTCGTCATCTTAGCCATTACAGCGCAGTTACCGGTGTCCAGATGTCGTCGTAAACTTCCAAAGATAACAAATAGATTATAGCAACATATCCGGCCACGTTAAAATAGCTTGTTTCACGTAAAATTCAGTGGCCGGGAGTGATCGCCAATTTCGGAGGGATTAATTAATCGCGAACAGGCAGAAGTACCGAAACGTCGGATAAAGTTGTTGCAGGCGTTAATGTGTCTTTGACTCGTGTTCAGTACCCCAAAAAATCCACATAAAAGCCACACAATGGACTATTGGACGACGTGGCTACTTGTTGTCTCCCTTCTGTCATCATTACTATTTGTCGGGGGTGTGGAATTAACCTTCGAATTGCCGGACAACGCGAAGGAGTGTTTTTACCAGGCGATCGACAAAAATCAGTCAGCTACGTTGGAGTTCCAGGTAAAGTATTCAATCATAACCTCTAGCTTATGTTCCTCGGGTGGTGCAGCTCTCCTCGACCTTGAGGACTAGAATAATTGGAAAAGAAAACAAAAGTTTTTGGGAATCGATTGGGGGAGAGTGGGGTAATATGGGCACTTTTTACTGGACTATTTTTTTTTTAGTGTTAATAATTCATTGAAAAGTTCATGAATGTGTTTTTTCCTTGTGAAGAACAATTTTTCCTCCGCGTGATGACTCCAGACTGAGCTCAATTGATGAATTTATGTAAAAGTTATAAATATACTTTTTTTTTCATTGAAAGTGTCCATTTTGCCAAAAATGAAGAGAATGAAGAACAATTCTTCCTCTGTGATGAGTCCAGACTGAGCGCAATTGATGAATTTATTTCTGAATTATAAATATATTTTTTTTAATCAAAAGTGTCTATTTTGCCTTATCGTATTCAATCATAAACTCTAGCTTATGTTTCACGGGTGGTGCAGCTCTCCTCGACCTTGAGGACTAGAATAATCGGAAAAGAAAACAAAAGTTTTTGGGAATCGATTGGGGGAGAGTGGGGTAATATGGGCACTTTTTACTGGACTATTTTTTTTTAGTGTTAATAATTCATTGAAAAGTTCATGAATGTGTTTTTTCCTTGTGAAGAACAATTTTTCCTCCGCGTGATGACTCCAGACTGAGCTCAATTGATGAATTTATGTAAAAGTTATAAATATACTTTTTTTTTCATTGAAAGTGTCCATTTTGCCAAAAATGAAGAGAATGAAGAACAATTCTTCCTCTGTGATGAGTCCAGACTGAGCGCAATTGATGAATTTATTTCTGAATTATAAATATATTTTTTTTAATCAAAAGTGTCTATTTTGCCTTATCGTATTCAATCAAACTCTAGCTTATGTTTCACGGGTGGTGCAGCTCTCCTCGACCTTGAGGACTAGAATAATTGGAAAAGAAAACAAAAGTTTTTGGGAATCGATTGGGGGAGAGTGGGGTAATATGGGCACTTTTTACTGGACTATTTTTTTTTTAGTGTTAATAATTCATTGAAAAGTTCATGAATGTGTTTTTTCCTTGTGAAGAACAATTTTTCCTCCGCGTGATGACTCCAGACTGAGCTCAATTGATGAATTTATGTAAAAGTTATAAATATACTTTTTTTTTCATTGAAAGTGTCCATTTTGCCAAAAATGAAGAGAATGAAGAACAATTCTTCCTCTGTGATGAGTCCAGACTGAGCGCAATTGATGAATTTATTTCTGAATTATAAATATATTTTTTTTAATCAAAAGTGTCTATTTTGCCTTATCGTATTCAATCATAAACTCTAGCTTATGTTTCACGGGTGGTGCAGCTCTCCTCGACCTTGAGGACTAGAATAATTGGAAAAGAAAACAAAAGTTTTTGGGAATCGATTGGGGGAGAGTGGGGTAATATGGGCACTTTTTACTGGACTTTTTTTTTTTAGTGTTAATAATTCATTGAAAAGTTCATGAATGTGTTTTTTCCTTGTGAAGAACAATTTTTCCTCCGCGTGATGACTCCAGACTGAGCTCAATTGATGAATTTATGTAAAAGTTATAAATATACTTTTTTTTTCATTGAAAGTGTCCATTTTGCCAAAAATGAAGAGAATGAAGAACAATTCTTCCTCTGTGATGAGTCCAGACTGAGCGCAATTGATGAATTTATTTCTGAATTATAAATATATTTTTTTTAATCAAAAGTGTCTATTTTGCCTTATCGTATTCAATCATAAACTCTAGCTTATGTTTCACGGGTGGTGCAGCTCTCCTCGACCTTGAGGACTAGAATAATCGGAAAAGAAAACAAAAGTTTTTGGGAATCGATTGGGGGAGAGTGGGGTAATATGGGCACTTTTTACTGGACTTTTTTTTTTTAGTGTTAATAATTCATTGAAAAGTTCATGAATGTGTTTTTTCCTTGTGAAGAACAATTTTTCCTCCGCGTGATGACTCCAGACTGAGCTCAATTGATGAATTTATGTAAAAGTTATAAATATACTTTTTTTTTCATTGAAAGTGCCCATTTTGCCAAAAATGAAGAGAATGAAGAACAATTCTTCCTCTGTGATGAGTTCAGACTGAGCGCAATTGATGAATTTATTTCTGAGTTATAAATATAGGGGAGGGTGGGGTAAAATGGACACTAGACTTATTTAAAATTATTTATAACTCAGAAACAAATTTATCAATTGAGCTCAGTTTAAGCTCGTCACAAAGGGAAAGAGTTGTTCTTTGTATTGAAGAAAAAATTATTAAATTTTATCAACATTTGAACCCTTCATTAACACTTTTAAAAAAGTCAAAAGTGTCCGTTTTACCCCAGCCTCCTCTATATATTTTTAAATCAAAAGTGTCCATCATCCCTTAGGTGACCAGTTTAAGTGTCTAAACTAATCAGAATTAATAATTTTTTCAGGTCGTCACTGGAGGACAGTATGACATTGACGTAACGCTTGAAGCTCCTAATAAAGAAATAATTTATCGTCAAGTGAAAACGCAATTTGACTCTCACACATTCGTGGCATCAATGAGTGGCGAGTACAAAGCCTGTTTTAGCAATGAATTTTCAACCTTTTCGCATAAATTAGTGTATATGGATTTCCAAGTTGGTGATGAGGATTCGCTGCCTGGATTGGAAGAGCATGTTACTGTCATGACGCAGGTAGGACGCAATACGACCGATGAGAATCATGGCCCAATTTATCAGCTGCTAAATTTTCATATTACAACAAATGATTTGCTCATGTTCTAATTCCTGTGCTCACTGAATAAGATTTTAATCGTAATTACAATTCAATTCCTTCTAGAACACACTTTAGAGTGTGAATTTCTGGAATTCAATGTTTGTTGATACTCTGGTAAAAGTGCGTGCCCACACTGTTATCAATTTTTAGTTAGTTCACACGGTAATTCAATTAATCTGTTGTTCATCTCATCAATATAATTCCGTGCTTAGAATATTGTCATCTCGTGTTTTCAGCACCAATTTAAAAATTAAAACTTCATTTGGAATATTGAGTCACAGATTCTTTTTATTCATATCAGAAATTTTGTATTTGGATATTAATATTATTTGTTCAAAGTGAAAAATCGATCATCATTTTCACTATATTGTATTCAGATTCTCCTATTCTTAACGTCAAAAATGTGAGATAATCTCATAATTCTAGCTATTTATTCTAATCAACTTTGTTCGAAAAAAACCTTAGTAAACGCAATATTGAAAAAGTAAACTTATTCTATTTTCCTCTGACCTAAATGATTTGGAAAATTATGATGTTTATTCATGTTTCATAGAACGGTATTCAATTCTCGTTTGTTTGTTAGGCGGGCTTCATGAAAATTCAACGCAAGACGTTATGGAAATTCGTCATGTTCGAGTTCTCATTTTTTATTCAAGATGCTGTTTTTTTTAGAAAGGAAATAATTTTTTTTTAAATCGTACAGTGAAGCTGTGGAATTCTTCAAAAAAATCTATCAAAAACAGAAATTTCCCTCGAATTCACTAGGTTTACCGTAATTTCTTTTGCATCCGTGATCTCAGCATTAAATTTGTCACAATTTGTCAAAATTTGGACAAAACGTGTCACAGTAAATTTAATTATTACCTTACAGAGCAAAATACTCATTCCAATTTAATTTCAGATGGAGACATACGCTCAGGATATCCATAAGAATTTAATACGCACAGTGGACTATCAGACGTCCCACAGATTGCGTGAAGCTCAGGGTCGCAAGCGCGCAGAGGACCTCAACGAACGTGTCTTATGGTGGTCGATAATGGAAACAGCTGCCATCCTCATCACAACTATCGGCCAAGTCCTGGTACTGAAGAATTTCTTCACTGATCACAAACCGTATCAGAGACTCTGAAACCAAAACGAAGTACAATCTCATAAATAAAACAATTATTGTATTTTTTTTGCGTGAAAGTGGCAGGGATACACCCCAAATCTCTCAGGATGCAGGCAATGATCAACAACGTTTTTCACTGCCAACTTATGTTTTCTTGATGCCAGTTTCAAGGGGTCTCAGAATGTTGTTATTTATTTCGAATGATCAGTGTGTTGATTTCTTTCATTTTCAGACCGTGTAATACACTTTATTTTCTTCCACTTGTAATTTCATTAATGTAAACTGGAGATACTAGTAATAAAAGTGACACGTGTGAAAAAATTCGATAGAAAAACTCTTGTCTAGCTCTTTCAACAAGAAATTCTATTGAAATGCTATTAGAATTTTTTAAATTATTCGTTTTTCTGCACCAGTTCCACTAAAAAAATGCAACTAGTTTTTGATAGGAAACAGTCTAGATATTGACTGTTCTGTACAACTTAATTCATTTTAATTTTTTCTCTAAACAGAGAAGAATGAGAATCTATTGACTTTTCTATTAAATAGAATTGGGGAAAATGACTAATAGAATTATTTAATAGAATTTTGATAGAAATTTAATAGAATAGTCTATGCAATTTTTTCATACGTGGATTCAGTAGCAAAGCGATAAAACGGTTCAAGTCGATTTTGACTATTGGTCGGTTTTCAACGGATCTCTCGGAATCTAAGGCAAATAGCAAAGTTTTTGTTATAACCTTTTTTGCAGGGCTTCTTGAGAGCTACAAAAAACCTCATTACGAAAATTTCGCTATCTCTCTTGGATTCGGAGATATTCTTCGAAAACTGGTAAGAGCTGAGTCGACTTGAATCTTTTTACTGCTTCACTACTAGATTGTTCCTTGCATTCTGTTCTTGACTCAATCAGAGTTAAGTATTTGAGATGACTTGATAAATCTACGTTATTATTAACGTGATAATTATGTAATAGTCGACAAGCTCGCATTAATCTCGAGAGACTCTTTCCACGATAAATCGATTTAGATACAATTCGTTGTAAAATCAATTCGAATATTAAAATGAAAATTATGAAAATAATAAATAATAAATAAATAGTGAACAACAAATTTAATTCGAACATTAAAAACGGAAGATCCAATTAAAATCATTGAACGTATGAATTTCTGACTGTTCAAAAACAGAATGCAAAATGTCAATTCAATAGAGTCGAAGGGAAACTCGTGAATGAAAGTTAAAAATTGCCCGTAAAAAGGAGTTTCCCGCGGGCTAAAAATCCGGGAGTTGAAAATAATCTACAGATGTCCCAAAATTTCCCTGTGTAATTACAATCGGGATGAGCTTTGCACGAAAGTATTTCACTTCCGAAGCTCATCCCCTGGTTGTGAAAAAAAAAATTGGGAAAGATGATATTTTGGATATCTCGGGGCAAGGGAACAGCGGAGCTGCGGACTTCAATGTATTAGCCGTGATTTTTACATACTTGTGAACATTGTAATAGAATTAAAAACGTTCATGTGAATAATAGAAAAATTTCAACGATTGCGTGTTTTCGATTATTTTGCGTCCCTCTACTGGAGCCGTGAAATTTCTTACGGAGGTTCTTGCTGATGTGTCATAATGCGCCACGTTTCACGTTCATGTTTGCTTTAGCAATTTCAAAGCATGTGGTTCGCTGTGTACAGCGAGGGGAAACAAAATTCGGGTAAAGTTGTTTGAATCAACAAAATTCTTTTCATATTCGAAATTGTTTTTTTTCTCAACATGTAAACATTCTTTTAAACCATTTTGAAAACATTGTGTTAATACGTGTGGAGGTGGCCAAGGAGTTTCCCCGTTGAAACGTTGAAGAGTAAATTTTATTTTTCTGTAAGAGAGAGAAAGACAAAAAAAATTTTTAATTAAAATAAAAAAATTTTATTAAATTTTTTTATTTAAAAAAAAACTTCGTCGTCGTGTCGTTTTTTTAAAATTTTAATTGAAATTTTAATTTTAATTTTAATTGAAATTTTAATTAAAGTTAAAATTTAAATTAAATTTAAAATTCAAATTTAATTTTTTTTTTTAATTTTAATTTCGGGGAGGGTGGGGTAAAATGCACACTTGACTTTTATTTAAATGTTAATGAGAGCGTGAACTGTTGATGAAATTCAATTTTCAATGCAAAGAACATTTCTTTCCCTTTGTGATGACCCTAAACTGAGCTCAATTGCTAAATTTGTTTCTGAGTTATGAGTAATTAAAAAAAAGTCTAGTGTCCATTTTACCCCATCCTCCCCTAAAGATATTCAAGTGCCCTGAATTCCATTAACATAATTAGAAAGTTTACTTTTGGAGGAAGATTGATGAACAATTTAAAAATCGCAATGTTCGAATAATTAATAGGACAATACGATAATTCGAAAATCCATTTAAATTCTGCGCGTAAAATTAAGCGCCACTGACAATTACTGACATCTGGCGTTCGATTGGACGAGTTGAATGATTCTCTATGACGAAAATAATTTCCACGTGTTGGAGAAGGTAGAACTCTGATGAAGTTTGAAGCAACGGAAAAAAGTAAACAGCTGTTATAACCTCTGGATGTCAATCGACAAAATAAATAATCATTCACTCGTGGAATAAATAATTTCTACGATGGAGGTAACATACACTCTAAATAATGCCCCAACATCTGCATATTCTTCTATTTTTAATTCACCCATTTTTTCGTTCATTAGGAGCAGAATCTACCGATTGACATTAACGCTGGAAAGTTGTTGGATTGGTTGATAACCCGTCGTCACTGCAATCGTGGATGGCAATCAAATATCCTCGTAATCAGAGAAAAAATAAATAATGCTATTCAGGACATGCCCGAGCATGAAGGCATCACTAAAATACTGACTGGGACTCGTAAGTTCTGCTGACGGATGCCACGTCATTTAATCCTCGAAAATGAATCCTGAACAAATTAGTCCCAGTCAAAAAATCCTGAAAACATGATCCTAAACAATTTAATCCTGAAAAAAAAAATCCTACACAAATAATTCCAGTGCTAAAAACTTAGTAACAAAATTTTACGCAAAAAAACGGAAAATTGGGATAATGCGACGTAAAATACTCAACAAATTACAATAATTTATTTATGAAACGTAAACATGCAGACATGGTGCTGATATCAATCCATGAAAAATGTTGCAAGCCCTCAAATCTCAAGTCAGAACAAACATGCACTCATGAAATATTAAAATAATTGTCCGAATCGTATCGTCAAACTTAATTAACAAAAAAGCAAACATGAAAAATCGATGACGTCATCAAAGAAAATTGTGGCCTGATAACTTAAATTGTTGAGCAACACGTGCACAATTCAATAATCAACATTTAGATTTATTAGTATTAGAGACAAACGAATAAACAACGACAACAGGCAATGCGTCACCCGAATGCGCTCGGTATTTACACACAAATTAGACATGAATTAATTTCCTGGAAAAATTAAAATGAGAGGAAAAAGAACAGTCGTTACTTACAAGAAACAATTGCCACTATTCTAGAATACAATTTTCCTCAATGGAAAGTGGACATTCAAAATATTTAACACAGAGTTATCATAATTTTTTAAAATTGATAGCAATATAATCGTTAAAAAATTTCAGGATCAAATCATCCAGGATCATTTTGCAGGATTAAATTGTCGCGGATCATTTTTACCAGCATTAGATGACTTTAGCATTATATATTTTCATCTGTTTGCTTTGACTAAAGTTGATCATTGTTGCTTGCAGACATTAATTATTTTCACTGCATCAAGATTATTGAAATACTCAAGGAAACGGAGGCAGACACAAAGAATTTATTTGGGCGTTATGGATCACAGCGGATGAAAGATTGGCAGGAAATTGTTCGACTGTATGAAAAAGACAATTTGTATCTTGCTGAAGCTGCGCAGATGTTGATCAGAAACGTCAATTATGAAGTGCCGAGTTTCAAGAAACAGATACAGAAAGCTGAGCAAACTGTGCATGTGAGTTCACACGTATAAAAAAAGTGGGGAATCCCTTTCGTCACGACATAGTCAATATATTTTTGCTAGTGAATTCGTATTTTGTTTTCGAAGGAAATTTTGAGGATGACGTGTTTTAAATTGAATTCAATTATTCAGGGAATTCAACATTGGGCCAATGTTGGCAGCCAACATCGTCCCGACGTTATAATTTTTTCCTAAATATCCCAAATATTTTTAATAGCCAGAATAGTTTTTCCTAAATATTCTGTTTTCATCTTTCCCTGAATATTCGCTTCAAAATAAAATTTTTCAACTCCAGATGAGGCAATCAATCTCATGATCGAACTCGGTCAAGATGGCATTGGGAAGAATATTTTAAATTACACTTGGATTCATTTAAATAATTATTTTTTTCGGATCTATGTTTAAAAAATTTCTGTTGAAAAATTTTCTTCAAATCAACTTGGTAACTAAAAAAACTTGAACTTGAACTTCGAAAAACATGAAAACAACTTTTTAAAACTCCAGTAAAATGATGCAAAAAACACAAGAATAGAGTCTGCACACAGACTTGATCCAAGAATTGTCATCACATTGTTCAAATGACTATTGGCCTCTCCCCTAAATGGGGTGTTGAGAATCACTTTGATGATGCTATAATCTCCCTCTTTCCAGCCTTCCATTTATTTAACAACATTTACAATTTATTCAACAATCATATTGACAACTCTGGGATCAAATCAGTGTGCAGAATTCGTCCGACATTCGGCACTTAAGAGGTCGCATTGCGGGGAATCCCCGCTAAACCATCATACGCAACCTATAGGGCGCCACTGTAGAGTGCGAGATGCTAGAAAAGCGCGGCCTCTTAAGGGTTAACCTCAACTCTGGGGTGAACCATCGGGGTTTCATTGAAGAAATCCAACGAAAAAACTCGGCAACGGAATTTTCAATCTAAAAATCAAATTCTACTGACTTTTCTCTATTTTTTTCTCACACGTCCAATAATCTTATACTATATTCGTGAATGATAATTCCTCTCAAGAAAACAAGTCAAAACAAGTCTTAAAAATACAATTGAAAAAAATCTGAGTCAATGAAGAAAACAAAATAATCCCTCTCAATCTCTTCGCTTCCACTAGGAACTGGATAAAAAATCTCTGGAGTATAAAAAATCAGAAAACACGGCCAGAACGGAGTTCACGAATTTATGTAAACAATTGGGGATTCCTGGGAATAAAATCAAGCGAGAGTTAGTAGGAAAAATCGTCGAGTTGGGTGATATTTACGAGAGAATAGCCAAAAAAGTTGAATGTCTGGTCCCAGTGATTGAATTCTACACTGCATTCGTGGAGTTCACGCTTGGCAGGAGTCGTCCCAATGGGTGTGTACCCATGATTCAATACGTCATCGATAAAGGAAATACTACAACTTACGAGTGGACATACGGCGAAGCGCCTCTCTCAGTTGTCGAATCTCCATTGAATGTAGATCTGGATGATGAGGAAAAAGTATTGTACCGCCTTGCTTCTTTTCAACGTAATTTATATTCCAGTACATTGAGGGAAAAACAAACAAGTCTTGTTTGGGCCAGCAAAATCGCTAGATGAAAATTACCAAAAAATAAATTTTATGTCGAATTTGAAAGTCTCGAACATGAATAATTGCTCTGCTTTCGACAATAACGATTATTCTAAAATATCTCATACAGAGGAAAGTTTATCACGAAATTATTCATTATTCGTATCTCCTCTATTGGGAAGTGGTAAAACGGAATAAGTCAATTTTGACTATTGACCAGTTTTTAATAAATATCTCGGAATCTAAGGGAGATAGCAAAATTTTTGTTATAACCTTTTTTGTAGAGCCGATTGAGAGCTACAAAAGATGTAATTACGAAAATTTCACTATCTTCATTAGATTCGGAAATATTCCTCAAACACTCAATCGGGAGATGAGTCGACTTAAACCGGTTTACCACTTCGCGACCGAATTAATAAGGTTCTTTGCAAAAGTTCTGAATTTTTTCAACTTTTTTAAAATCCAAATAATTTTCGGGTCATCTCAATTCGCGGCATCGAGTTGAAAATTCGAGATAAAAATTGAAATATAAAAATTGAAGAAAGCAATCTAGATATTGTTCGACAGATAATAGAGCCAGGCCTTAAGGATTAATTTCTTGTCTGTGATTATTAACTAGCCGAAACTAGAAATTACTATCTCTTGTTTCGCATGAAACCAACATTTTTCGTGAGCAAAATACGCATAGAAGTATCGAATAACGAAGAAGTGCTCGAAATGACATTTCCGGTTGCACACAGAAGACAATTTTTTTGGAACAACTAAATCTATTTCTGCAACAAAAATTTTCCATCTCGGCTTTACCAAATCCTTTTTAATAATTTTTAAGGGTGCCAAGTGAATTTGAAAAAAGATTCAAAAAAAATTTTTTCTTTCCCTCCATCATTGGAGAAATATGTATTCATCCATCCGACGAAATTTCAAACCCGCAACCGGAACTAGACATCGAGAAAATAAATGCGAAAAATCCTCTATTTCGCGTGACGAACCTCGAGAAAGCATGGGATCAAATGGGTACGGCGGGTTGAAATATCTCTCTTATTCACCCCGGTACCCCGTTGTTTTTTGTCGCCATCACATTGAACACATCATTCCCCATATCTTCAAATTTTTTCAAATTTTTCTTGAGTTCCTAGGGGGTTGAAACGTTCAATTTAATCAAAACTCCATAAGAGGCCGTGTATAAGACTGATTTTGTTTATTCAATTTCTCGATATCCATAAGTTCTAAAATTTTAAAATTGTCACCGATGTCACCATCTGTCTAATACTGTTAATTTAAAAAATTATAACTTTGTTGGTGAATGTCAATTTTCAAGGTCATCGCCAAATTCACTTGGCACCCTTAAAAACCCTATTTTTTTGGCACAAGCAAGACTTGTTTGAGAACTCTGTCGTTTTCCTCTCAGTGTAACGAAGTAGTAAACAGTAGCAAGTAGATTAAGCTTCTAGTTGAGTTTTCCAGGAATATCTGTGTATTCACAAAAGGAAATTAACTTGTTAACTTCTCAATTAATATCGGGTAGTTATTGTAATAGCCCCGAAAATGAAAACCGGAAATTTCCAGACATTTTGAATATTGCTGTTGTAGATACCTTTTGGCGATGACAATATCGTCGACCTAGGCGATTCGGCTGAAAATGCCGGAATTGATTTTGGGGATGAGATTAATCTTGAAGAAGGCGGTGAAATAGACTGGGGTAATGTAGCCGATGTGGACGAAGAGGGACACGGAGACGCAGTGGATTTCAATATTTCACTGGAAGAGTCCGGAATTGTCGTGGAAGCCGCTGGACACGAAGGGGGAATTGCTACTGGAACCGAAGCCCTGACGATACTCGACAATCCAAAAACAAGAAGCGATTTCATCAACCAATTATTAGAGGTAAATTATTAAGATCCAACTGGTGGAGTTGGGATTGAATGCACCCTAATGCTACATAATTTTCTCAACTTTTAATTTTCTCATGAAAATTTCAAATCGCAACTCATGAGAAAGGTCATAACATACTTTAGTGCTTTAATATCCATCAATTATTCGTCATTTGTGAGGATAAATGCTGGGTAATTCTAGCTGGAGGCATTCCTCAAATTGCGGCTGTACGAGTTGAAAAGTGATAATCGTCAAAATCTACTGACCATGAGCCAAATGCAAGAAGCCTCTCCAGTCCTACAACTTTCTACTGTTGAGAGCACTCAAAGTATGCTGGATAATGTCCAGGTTATTCTGTCAGAGATACTGGACAGTCGTGTGCAACATTTACATTATATCAAACACTCTGTCAGGTAAGTGCTGCTACAATTAACTTCTCGATCTAAAGGGAAGAAGTTCTTGTAACGACCCCGAAAATGTGAAAATGTTTTGATGATTTGTCCGCGGTTCATCACCTCTAGAGTCATTCTGAAACGGTTTTGAAGTGAAGTGAATTTCGGAGTCTTAATTTCGCGTACCAGATTTTTATCACCAGAAGTCGATTTGGATTTTTATAATATACACTGAGAGAAAAACGACAAAGTTCTCAAACAAGTCTTACTTGTGCCAAGAAAATAGTTTTTTGAAAATGATCAAAAACGGATTTTTTGTGCCAAACATGCAGAGAGTGCGCCAGAATGAAAAATTTTTGTCGCAAAAATTGATTTAGTTGTTAAAAAAAATTGCATTCTCTGTACACGCAAGAAATGTCATTTCTAGCACTACTCCTTCGTTATTCGATACTCCCATACGTATTTTGCTCCCGAAAAATCTTTGTTTTGTGCGAAACAAGGGATAGTAGTTCGTCGTTTCGGTTGTCTAATAATCACAGACAAGGAATGAACCCTTAAATAAAACAATAATAATGATATGATGCAATCTTGTAACTTAGGGATAAAATATCTGTTGATAAATTTTCCTCTGAGATATTTTCATCGTGAAAAGGCACCGTCTGGTGTGAATTCCCCGCCTCTTGAGCCAAATATTTCGTTGCTGTCGAAAGCAGAACAATTATTCATGTTTGAGACTTTCAAATTCGAACCAAACAAATTCTTTTTTGGCAATTTTCATCACCTCTAGAGTCATTCTGAAACTGTTTTGAAGTGAAGTGAATTTCGGAGTCTTAATTTCGCGTACCAGATTTTTATCACCAGAAGTCGATTTGGATTTTTATAATATACACTGAGAGAAAAACGACAAAGTTCTCAAACAAGTCTTACTTGTGCCAAGAAAATAGTTTTTTGAAAATGATCAAAAACGGATTTTTTGTGCCAAACATGCAGAGAGTGCGCCAGAATGAAAAATTTTTGTCGCAAAAATTGATTTAGTTGTTAAAAAAAATTGCATTCTCTGTACACGCAAGAAATGTCATTTCTAGCACTACTCCTTCGTTATTCGATACTCCCATACATATTTTGCTCCCGAAAAATCTTTGTTTTGTGCGAAACAAGGGATAGTAGTTCGTCGTTTCGGTTGTCTAATAATCACAGACAAGGAATGAACCCTTAAATGAAACAATAATAATGATATGATGCAATCTTGTAACTTAGGGATAAAATATCTGTTGATAAATTTTCCTCTGAGATATTTTCATCGTGAAAAGGCACCGTCTGGTGTGAATTCCCCGCCTCTTGAGCCAAATATTTCGTTGCTGTCGAAAGCAGAACAATTATTCATGTTTGAGACTTTCAAATTCGAACCAAACAAATTCTTTTTTGACAACGTGTTTGTTGTTCTCTCAGTGTAGAGAGAAACAGAACGATGGGAATCTGTCGGGAAGTCATTGGTTCGATCTGTAATGGGTCACACCCACTTCAATCCAATAATTATCCTTGTTATCAGGTATGTGGATGTGCTGGCTGGGAACCTGCAACAAAAACTGGTCTTAGCGGATAAAATGATTGCGCTGCAAAAGTCCGTCAAAGTTAAACAAGAAGAAGTGAGGCAGCAGGCAAGCGCCCTTCAAGCTGTGCTGAAAGTTGTAGTCCAGAGGACTCGAGAACTGCAGAGTGAAGTAAGTGGTCTTCTATTCTAGCTAGAATTTCAGCTTCTTTGCGTTAATCATTCTCGAGTTATAGTGGGGATGGGGTCCACCTGAACCGTCTACCACTGTTTCGGATTTTCTGCAGTTTTCCCTAGACCAGCGATCCCCATCAATATTAAATTTCTGTAATATTACAGGGATTTGACCCTTACATTAATAAAGGGACCCTTACATTAAAATATATTGATCAAACTTTAAAAATAGTATAATATTAATAATCTAATTGTTCCGTTTAATGATGAATTAAATATTTGATAACAAATTTAAATTCACCATCAAGTGAATAATTCTAATTTCTTAAAAGGGGATTTTCCAGTGCACAAATAATCGTCAATCTTCCTACCCAATTATTGATTAATAAAATGGTTAAAAATTTGAATACCTAAATTGATGATACTTGAATAATTAAAAAATTTAAGAGTGATGTTGCCTCATTGACGGCTACAATATTTAAGGGTAATTATATTTTATGGATTCGTTGGCTAAACGAGGCTAGAAGATGGCTGCAGTCGCAGGGGTGGGGGGAAGCAGAGATTTGTGACTTGAAAAAAGAACCTTACGTATTTTTTCTTTGGAATGCATTTTTTGTTTTTTTTTGTTTTGGAATTGTACTGAATTTTCAGTGAAATTTGAGATTTCATGATTTTTTCCCCTTAAAAACATCATTTCGTTATGTTGCATGACATTTCTACGCATTTTCCCCCAAAATTGGGAAATTGAAAAAATCACAATTACATAGCTTTCATTCGGAAGCAAGAAGAAAAAACCAAGAGAGAGGGAACCCCGAAAAATCTCAGATTTTTTCTGTTTCAGATCGAAAAGGATATCTCGAAGAAATACAAAAATCGTAAGGTCCACCTGACGGGGGGTATCAGCACCCTATAATATTCCTCTCGCAAAATCCACTGGCAAAACTTTACTCTTCACGGGAGCTGTTGCAAAATATATATTGCGGTTACATTTGTAGCCCAATGTACTTATTTTCCATTTTTTTAATGAGTCTATACATACATTATGAACTAGGTAATGGCTATGAACAATTGTAAATAAATATTTTGTTAACATCGAAATAAAGACGTCGAAATGTGAGTGACGTTGATCTTTCTTTCAAAGAATCATGAAAATATTCTGTACAAGTCGGAACGGGGAGGATGTGCACACTGCTTTTGATGAGGGGCAAGGAAACCTTCGCAAACATTTAGCCAATGCTCGATCGCACTCGCACAGTCGTTGAGCGCAGGAGCCAGAACCACCCCAGCTTCCATGTAAGATAGCTGAAATGGATATAATGAATAATTATTGCTCGAAATATTGTTTTCAAGAAAGGAGGAGTCCTTATTTCCTATTCTAAAAAGAACATGCACTTAAAGTCGATAACTATCGATATCTCGCAAGTCTGTCACGCTTATTCCTCATTGGTTCCAGTCGTCTGAGGCGGCAAATTTAATTCATAATTAATTTAATTTTGAGATTTACAATTATGATTGCTACAATTACAGCGCGCTGAAGCGCGCGATTGGTCTCGTAAAAGAACCGTCATGACGTCATTTCTCAGAAGTTGTGTCACACAAATATCGAATCGATATCACAATATCTCGAAAACCTGTAGTACACTTCGTCTATTCTCACGTCATAGAGGCGCGCGGGAGCGCGCCGTCAGATTAGTAGGGAAAAAATTAATGCCAGGAAAAATCCATGAGAACTGTAAATTTCAGTTCAAAATTAATAGAACATCGGAAAATGGCGATTAACATATTTGCGAATTTTTAATTATTTTAAAATTCACTGTAATTTGGCACTGTATATTCAAATAAATCGAAGGATTTTCGTCTTCATGCTTCTCAGAATTTTGGAATTCTACTGAACTTTCACTGAAATCTGAAGTTTCATGATTTTTTCCTCGTAAACTGCACTCAGCGGCACTGTCCGGAAAATTAGTAGTCAACTGTCCATGAAATTTCAGTTTTTTTTTCTAACAATCCATCATTGAGATAATACACGGGGGATTGATAATAATGAATACTAAAATAATAAACAATAAATGGTAATAATTGATAAATAAAAGAATTAACGATAATAATTCAATTCTATTTAAAAAATTTCTTATGAAATTTCTTTCTTATTTCTTGTTCGTAAAATTTTTTTTATGAATACTTAAATTAATTAATAACTTATTGGAGAATTGAAACAATTTAAAGTTCCTCTTACGAACTCAATCACCCCCTTATTGAAAACAGATCCAAAAATCCTTAAAATACTACAGATTTATCATAAACAGTAGATTAAAGATCTAAAATCAAAGATTGTAAGAAGTGTAAATATTTAGATTAAGTTAATAGAACATTACTGATAGTGTAAATAAATCCTGTAGATTTATTTACGCGGACTTTAAACAATAAAAAAAAATTAATCAATAGTAAGTGGTGATAATTCTATTAAAAAATTTTTCGATCGGACCCTCAAAAAATGACTCAAAAAGGAATGAAGTGAAACTGACGAAGCTTAAAGTTATAAATAGAATTCAGTCAGAAGCCGGCCATTTATGTCTGAGTTTAGCACCAAAAAATCCTATTTTGATGATTTTCAAAAAACTATTTTCATGGCGCAAGTAAGACTTGTTTGAGAACTTTGTCGTTTTTCTCTCAGTGTAGTCATAACATATTAAAATTAGGCACGACTCACCACAGATTGGTAGATGGCCGCGATAACATTTCCAATAGTATGGGATAAAGTATTCTGAAAAGGTCGGGCACCCAGTTGCGTCATAGCAGCGGTCATGCATCCAGCAGCATCTGAAAATATAATTTGGAAGAATTATGCAACGAACGTCACTTTCACGAGCGAAATCGCCTTGCTGGAACAAATTGGGGGCACTGTTGCCATTTATAGGTGGCAAATGATTCGAGAGGCACCTCCGCCCGCGACTCAAGTACGTATAATGACTTTCAGGCGGATTCCTGTGTTGTTGCACTATTCTCGCATTTCGAATATCAGATGATCACTCTCCCACGTTTTCGATGGCGAATTGAGTGGTCGCCCCCCTCCGGTATACAATTTTTTTTCTTACCGATCGATACCGTCGACAGGATATCCGGAGCCTAAAAATCCACAGTAACAGCCGTATCCTTTGTAAGCTAGGGGATTACAACCGGTTGCGCATACAACCATGTTGTATAAGTGCACCACGCTTCTTTTACGCCTTGTTCTCCTTGAGCTCGCACCAAATCTTTCAGATAATCTGGAAATAATTCACACCTGCTGATTACAAACGATTCACCGCTGCCTGATTGTGTTAAGACTTGTGTTCTAGACTTGTTTGGAAAAAAAAATGATGCAATGGTAGGCTATATGAAAACATATCCCGGGTGATTATATCTGAATTATATGTAACATGTATATGAGGTATATCTTGGATATATTTTTGGAAAAACAATAATAATATATTCGCACACTTATTCAGCATATATTAGGTATTGTAGATTTTGCCGCAGAAGCTTTGTAATCGTTCGAATTTAAATCTTAGATTTTTTATGTTATATCGACCCAGCATGATCAGAAAAGTTCGAAAATTGAATTTTTCAGACCTCTTCAATTATTTGGTAATGAATGGATGGAATTGAATTGTCTTCTGAAATGTAAGTATTGTTGAGCCCTATCGATCGCAATTAATTAAAATTCAATCCATCGATTAGTTTTTTGATTTTCTAATTTTTTTGAAAATCAATCGTCTCACGATAACTAAAAAAAAGTTCTGAATTGATTGCATGATGGCTTAGAAAATTTCTTTGGATGTCCTTTTGACCGAGTTCGAAGATGAAGGCGATAGCAATAATCGTTATTTTGATTTATTTGAAAATTTGCAAAAATTTAGTATTTTTTAAAAATCAGAATTCCGGGGATATCTTCGAATATCATGCTTCAAATGAATTCAATCATAGCTTAAAATGTTTGTTTTAATGCCATTAAGTCGAAGTTAAGGATGATTACGATAGCTATATTGGTTGATTTGATTTTTATGATGATTGTTGAAAATTTCGAATTTTTCATGAATTTTCCTGATAGTGAGCTTTCTGATGGTTTCTTCAAATGTGATGTTTCAAATTCATTCAAGTATGTACAAATAAAATTTTTCTATTAACATTTTATCGAAGGGCTGAGGGGAGAGATAGAACTGTAAAAAAGACAATCGGTTGTACAGAAGAAAGGGATAATAAGAATAATGATGATGATAACATTCAACTAAGTTGAAAATCTGACAAAATTAGTTGGAAAGAAATCTTATTCAATTTAATAAAATGAAATAAACAATGAATTATACATGACAGGAGGAAATGATGTGCAAAATAACCATTCGGAAGCATATTGCTAATTTATCAGCAAAAATAACTATCCTATATGGAATACGAGAGGGAAAAATAGAAACTTCGTGAAAGTATAATTTTTAGGAGAGCAATATTAAATTCGATGCAGGAGTGAAAGAATCATTCAATTACAAATTTTTGAGTAGCAGGAAAACAAGAATTGTTCAACTTACTTGAGTTTTCAGTCAAAACATAAATATTCAGCACCAATTACGCTGACCTTTTAATTTCTATATTATCAAGACATTTAGACAGATTATAATATAGCTACTCTAGTGATTTTATAATTCAAGTAATATAAATAATCCTTTCCGTCAAGGGTATTATTTTGAACTGTTCATTTAATTAATTCCATTACTATACTTTAGTTAATTTTATCCTGTAATTGGCCGTTTGCGTGGGGTCTCTATGAAAATGAAAATAAATAAAAATGAGATAAAATGAAGTGAATCGACAAATAACAGAGTGAATAAATCGTAGAATCAACTTATTTCTGATCTTCACCTCAAAGAATTCGTTGAGCTGTTGTACGTAACCGATATTTTAGACGAAGGTCGCATCGAATGTATGTCTTCTTCACTTTCCCCGAACCCGTGCATCGTGAGATTGTGGAGTTCTTCATGAGCTGTAATAGTGTCAGAAAAACAATTGTTAACCCTAGATTGGTCACCACACGAGGAAAACGCCGCAGCCCGTCGTTTTTCTTGAATTGCCATTGAATGGCTGATCGGAAAAATTCAAAAAAATTTGACTTTTCCAATTGAAGTATCTAAAAAATTAGAGTAGTTTCAGAACAACATAATTCTCGAAATTCCTGAAGAAAACAATTTTTTTCTCACCGAGGAATTATTTTTTCCCATGTTGAATGAAAGCGCCTGTTCCGCGACGTTGCCGGAAACTCGCTAAACGCGCCCGGGCAGTGTAGAGTGAATTTGGCAACGTTCGGGCCTAAATAACACGGCGGCACTTCCCCGCGGACGTGACCAAGTCGTTGGGTCGCGTAGGGTGACCAGACTAGGGTTAAGCGTGCCAAGTGAATTTGGAGATGACCTTGAAAATTGACATTCACCAACAAAGTTATAATGTTTTTAATTAATAGTATTAAACAGATGGTGAACATCGGTGACAATTTTAAAATTTTAGAACTTATGGATATCGAGAAATTAAATAAACAATATCAGTCTTATACACGGCCTCTTATGGAGTTTTGATTAAATTGAACGTTTCAACCCCCTAGGAACTCAAGAAAAATTTGAAAAAATTTGAAGATGTGGGGAATTATGTGTTCAATGTGATGGCGACAAAAAACAATGGGGTACCGGGGTGAATAAGAGAGATATTTCAACCCGTTGTATCCATTTGATCCCATCCTTTCTCGAGGTTCATCACGCGAAATAGAGGATTTTCCGCATTTATTTTCTCGATGTCTAGTTCCGGTTGCGGGTTTGAAATTTCGTCGGATGGATGAATACATATTTCTCCAATGATGGAGGGAAAGAAAAAATTTTTTTTGAATCTTTTTTCAAATTCACTTGGCACCCTTAACTTTGAGAATACAGGGATTTCGGAGGCAGGTGTTCAGTCTGGTCGACTGCACAGATGTCCGTTACTCAAAAAAATTAACCATGTCTTCTCAAATTGTTCAGGTGTATCCATTTGTAGCGATTCACAGGCAACTTCTGCGTTTGAGCGTGTAATTCTCATTTTTCTGTCAGTACCACGTGTAGACCCAAATGACTACTGTTTCCGTGATGCACATTGTGACGGTGGCCGATTGTTTACTTTTTCTTTTACCGTTTTATGTTAGTTCCCCTGGTTTCCTCTTTCAAATTGTCGTTGCAATTTCAACTGAATGATAATTCATTTGTTGTTCATGTGTTGTATTCGGTTGTCCGCATTCATGCAGTGAATTCCAGTCCATAGGGACACGGAGGATTCATTGAATTTTTCTATTGAAGAATTTCATCATTTTACTGCAGGGGTTTTATTTAAATGAAAATGTGCACTTTCTATTAATCCAGGAATCAGGGATTTTTGGGGAAATAACACTTTGATCTAATTGTCGAGGATGCGGCGTTTCGCAAAATATATTTTAGCTTCATTAGGCTGTTGAGGCGGATACTGTACTAATAAATGTACACGGAGAGAAAAATTCAATAAAAAGTGTGAGTCGGAACTGAAATTGTACTAATCGCCACGTAAGTTCTACGATTTGTTCCGTAAAAATTAATCACCCGTCTGATGACAAGTTGTTCCCTAATTTTTCCCCAACGATTGAGAAATTTTACGGAACGGAACGTAGAAATAACTCACCAACTTCATAAAAATTGTTGAACGTTCAAGAATTTTTGATTTTGGAGGCACAATAAGTCGGCAAGTTTCCGTAAGATTTTACTTCATCGGAAAAAATTACGTGACAATTTCGTACTTTGTTCGGTGATAAACCTGAGAATTCACTGAACGTTTCAGATTTCTTCTCTTCCATTCCTATAAAAATTACCGGAAAACGATTCCCCATTGCGGATTACGTGAATTGTTCCGTAATTTTTACTGAATATTTCTCTCCGTGTTCTGTGTATTCTGAATAATTAATAGTTAATTTACTACCAGCGAACCATTCAGATGATAATTACGATTATGACACGTCGTATCAACCTCGGAGATCAGCCGAAATGTTTTTCCCCTCCATTCCTTTCCTCCTTGCTCCTATTCATTCATATTATAATTTTTGTATGCTAATTGCCAGTTAATTTAATCATCTAATTGGGAACAACTTTAATTTCGCAGTAATTAGAGGGAACAGAGTTAGGCGCGTGGCTGACTGTAGCGGTTGGAATAAAAGTAATGAGGGGAGGCGTAACTGTACAAAACTCGTCACGGTCAATGGTACACGGGTGTTATTAAGCAGATTCTGTTTTATGTGGAATAATAGCCATGATATATTATCGGTATGGGGTTACTTTGAAAATGTATCTGATCGTTAAATATGTCCTCAATTTTTTCCCCTTTTGGCTGATACGCCACGTGTGAAAAAATTTCAAAAAAAGTCGTAGCGAATTCGCAAGAAAATTCTGTTGGAGTTCTATCAGGTTTTGGTCGATTTAATCAAGAAATTCCGGATGTTATCTTTTTTTTTTTCATTTCGAAAAACAGTTTACAGAAATTTATTAGAAATATTTTATAGACAGAATCAGGAGAATTCGATTATTTGATACAAATCATTTTACGAGATATTTTCAATAGAAATTTCGCGACTCAATTTTTTGACGATTGTTTTTCTGAAAAGAAAGAAAAAATGAAGTGGAAACTATTTGAAACAATCATGTCGAGGAATTTCTATTGAAAAAAAAAAAATTAAAAAATATTAATATTTTTTTAATTTTTTTGTTTTAAAAATTGTTATTGAAAAATGGAATTCTACGGATTTTTTCTATAGAATAGTTTCTACCGGGCATTTTCTATTAAAAAAGCGCAGAAAAGCGATGAAATTTATCAATACAATCAGCCAAAAGTAATAGAATTTCCAATAGAACTTGAATAAAAAATTTTTTTCCATTAATATTTTTTTTTATTAATTTTTTCTATTACTTGACTAGTGGAATTTTCAATCAGGTCTTTCTATGAAATTTTTTTGTCCGTGGGATTGTACTACTGGGAAAAAAGGTAAATTTCATGGACAACTTAGAAGTATTGGAGTCGATCTAGAGGAGATAATCATGAAATTTACAATTTTTCCAAAATTTGGTGGCCCAATTTACTTCAATTTTCAATCAATCGAATGTATCCACCTCAATTTTCGTGATCTCTGTGAATTTTATTTGAAATATTGACCTGCAATTCAGAGTTTCCACAGTTTTTTAATCGAATTCTGAATTCTCAAATGTATTATCCCCCAACAACAAATTCTCAAATGCTATCTTCAAAAATTTCTATACGATGATAATAAAATTTCGAATTGACTACAGAAAAAATTTTGACAAAAAGATGTTGCACAATTTTTTTTTGTATAGACCCAGAATTTCTATGAAATGCGATTCTACGAGAATGCTTCACGGAGGATGTCAATTGATTGATGGAAAAAATCCACTGGTCAAACGAATTTTTTATAAAAAGAATATTCACCATTGCTCCGTATACAGAAAGTTGTTAACACAATCACCACATTTAATTTGAGATAAAATCGTGATGATCGGCGAAAGTTGCGTTCGGCACTGCTGATTCCACATTGGGATTCCAGATAGGTTTCCTCCTCCTTCATCGAGTATAACAATACATTCACGTAAATATGCACAATCACCCGGTGGCGAATATTATCGAGAAGCCATGCATTTCGAATTTGATCGGAAATACATCAACGGATGTTGGTTCGACATGTTCTCTATTTTCCATCATTCGCAGTCACATGAGACCAATTTTTTAGAAGAACACATGGTCACATGGGTGTTTATTATTTCAGGTATTTTTTTAAATTGCCAATATTCACCCAACTTCGCGGTTGGACGGGGGAATAAACGTCTTTCTCTCATGAGACTTCGGACAAGAATGACTCACTTGAGATAGGCCGTTGTATCCACCTTTTCCCTTACCTAGCAATTTTGTTACACTTCCATCCATTTACTTGTTCTCCTCCTACCGGCCCCCATTCTTCTCAAGTTCTTTCAACTTTCTTTCTCACTTGTGGATTGTTCTTGCTCGAAATGGCAGCACTTGAGAAACTCTTTCACCATAATTACAAAAAGTTATTCAAGTCCGTAAAGTGGTGATCTTGATTATGTTGATGCAGAAGGTGAAGACATTTCGTCGGTTAGTTTTCTGCTTGCTTTGCTGCGAACAAGCGATTTTGTTTCACGTGTTAAGTACCAGGTTAATTACAATCTCGTTATTTTATTTTTTTACGGGGAAGAATCGCCAGACAACATTTTCGAATTTTCTTGGAAATATTTTTTTTATGAAGTGACAATTCCACTGGAATTTCGGGGAATTTAGAAATTGAAAATTCACAATTTGAGGATAAAATCAATGGAGACTTGGAAAATCAAGTAAGTAGGGGAATTCTCGTCTATCTAGTGCTCAAAGATTTTCAATTTCATGGTTTTTTCCCCGCTAAATCTAATTCATAATCGCTCGCTTGAAAATGATTCTTGAAGTGTCTATGAAATTTCAAATTCGGTTGTCTGACAGTGTAAAAATATTCTGAAGTTCAAGTAATAGTTGAAATTACATTTTCAAGGTTGTAAATTCGAATTTAATTCAAGATAAAATCGTTCATAGAATTTCCTCTTCATCTCAAAAATTTAACAAAATATAATTTTTTGCAATAGGCAATAATTTATATTTTAATTGCAGCTTCAATTCTCAAACTCATTCCAAAAAGTGAACTATAGAAATAAAATTATCGTAATTTCGCATGTCCACTGTTAGGTAATTTCGTTGAGACTGTCAAATTCATTTTGAATAGAACCGAATTGACTCCGACAGCCGATAAATGAGAAAGTCAATCGTGAGGAATTGATATCTACTGCATCGACAGGCGTCCCAGAAACTGTGCCGATCGATGGCAATACAAATATTATAATCTACTATTTTATTTTCATATTTATTTTTCAAATTCACAAACCGTCTTTGAATTTTCATAATGTGGGCCTTTTTGGGTTTCACACAATTTACTGTCAATTATCTACAATTTATCTTCCAACTTATCTCATCTCGCTCTCACGCTTTTCGTTTTTTTGTAATATAAAATATCGGTTTTGGTCCCGGTTTGTCTCGTCTCCATTTCTTCCACATCAAAAAACGCGAAAAACTAGCAACCGAGATGAAATAAATTGACTCGGAGTCATCACGAGAGGAGTCGTCATTGCGTATTTTGAGACTGAGACGAAAAGATCTCCATTCATTGAGACCGAAATCATCTCTCCAAAGTTTTGCCTCGTGATGTCTCATGAAATGTCTCGCGACATCACTAGACCACATATATACACCTCACCACCGCTTTGAATTTAATTTGATACCTTAATGTAATAAATAACGACGAACTGCATCTTCTCGTCTCGTCTCGTTGTCAGGAAACCATTCTCTTGTCTCGTCTCGTATCGAAATACGAGAGCAATTTCTTCTGTCGTCTTGTCTCGTCTCTCTCATCCAATTTCCACGGAAAAAAATACACAGGGGGGCAGAGAGGGGGAGGCTCTCTCCACTCGCGTCTCGTTTCTCTCGTTCTCGATCGGCTTTTCTCGTCTCGTCTCATCATGTCCTTGTCTCTCTTGTCTCGTCTAGTCTCATCTCGTCTCGTTTGTCTCGTCTCGTCTCGTCTTGGTATGTCTCTCATCTTGTTTGTCTCATCTCGTCTCGTCATGTCTCTTGTCTCGTTTGTCTCGTCTCGTCTCATCTCGTCTCTTCTCGTCATGTCTCTCGTCTCATTTGTCTCATCTCGTCTCGTCTTGGTATGTCTTTCATCTTGTTTGTCTCGTCTCTCGTCTCGTTTGTCTCGTCTCTCGTCTCGTTTGTCTCGTCTCGTCTCGTTTAAATGCATTAGCAAACACCCACCCACAATTTTGAAAAATAAATTAGTAGGGGCCGTGGTTGTAAACTGAAACAGAAAATCCACTCCACATGTTGACAAGTAAATTGTTATAACAATGCGATAAAAGCCCCGCGTAAAGAAATACACTCGTCTTCGAAAAAAGCACGTGTAACACTGTGCGTCTCCAGTGAGGAATCATAAGATAATGTTTCGCCAGAACTACATCGATCTGTTCTTCAATACACAAACCTTCTCCTGAATATTATATGATTGTGCTCATACATAGTTCAGTAGAAGCGCGAAACTTCCTGCGAAAGGGAAAAAGATGTCACGAAACCTATTATTAATTCACATCTAAAATATTTCAGAAGAAATAGCTAACATGCGATGCAAAATTATATGTAGAATATTTTTCTTGAATAATTCACGTCGAAAGCGCAATGTTTTGTTGCTTAGGACATACCTCTCGCTACATTGTGCATTTAGGAAGGGGAATTCAGTGTACCTCTGGACATTATGAAAATGGATCTGAGAAAGGAAACTCCTATTCCATGGAACGATGACACAAAATATGCGCTGGGATTATACAGACAGTATCTCACTTTGCTAGGGATATGGCCTTTGGAACGTGATAGAGTGTTGCCGACATTGCGGCTAATGTTGTTCATCGTCATACAAGTATGATAGCGTCTGTTAACCCTAGTTGGTCACCATATGAGAACTTGTGACTTGGTCACCTCCGCAGGGAATCGCCGCCGTGTTATTTAGGCCCGAGCGTTGCCGAATTCACTCTATACTGCCCGGGCGCGTTTAGCGAGACTTCGGCAACGTCGCACAACGGGCAATTTCATTTAACATGGGAAAAAATTGCCCGTCTGTTAGAAATAATTTTTTTTCTTCAGGAATTGTGGATGTAAATAATTTTAAAAAATATTATAATTTTCTAGACACTTGAATTGACGCATTCCAATTTTTTAGGATTTTTCCGCTCAGCCAGTCAATGGTAAGAAAAAAAAATCGACCTTCGGCGGCGTTTCCCTCCTATGGTGACCAACTAGGGTTAAGGGGAAACGGAACCCCTGTGTCTATACAAACTTTTAGAATTGTGCTTTCTCCTACGATTATGAATTTTCATCTGTGAAATTCAATTTTTCTATCTAACTTATTTTATTGAGATATTTTCTGTAGAATTTCCTCGGCTCAAATTTCCCAAGTTTTTTCGATTGATTTTCTTGATGAGAAGAAAAGAAAAATGGAATGAAAAAAACTTGGAAAATTTGAGTCGAGCAAATTCTATAGAAAATATACGAAAAGAATAAATTATATAGAAAAATCGAATTCTGTTGACTTTTTCTATTGAACGTTTTCTATTGAACACGTCAACAGAATCAGCCAAAAACTAATAGAAAGTTTAATAGAAATTCAATAAAATTTTCTAACGAATTCGATAGGTTTTCTATTAAATTGTTTCGTGCGTGTGTGTCTGTTAAGGGGTAGCAGAAGGCGACCGTTTTATCGAAATTTTCAATCAATTTTGAGGCACAATATACTATATTTCGCCGCAATCTTTTATTAAACATTTTAATTTAATTATAAAACAGTCTTAATTTAACAATACTACCCACGATTTTTCAGATGTCAGTAAATATCACTTACATCACAAACCTGATGACAACAGGCTACTGCGGTCGAATACTGGATTTAGTCGAGATAATCACAATACTTTCCTTGAGCAACATATCCGTATTCAAATTGATCGTACCCTGGGGTTACTCTGACAAAATGTATTTTGTTCTCAATTCCATGGTCGAGGATTGGGTAAAGGTTTACGATCGAAAATCCCACGATACAATGATGAAATATGCCTACAAAGGGAGGGCAGTATGTGTTTTCCAACTGTTCATCACCGCATTTTTGATCATTCGAAATATCTTGCACAAATTACCGGCTACAGTGGAAACAATTACACCTGAAAACGTGACGACTCTATCGAGAATTGTGCCATACGGACCGGCATGTTGGGTGTCAACCACAATGTCCGCGCATTATTACAATGCTTATTATTCATTAATCTGTATCCACTGGCTGTCGGCAGCCCTCGCATACATCGGTACCGACATATACCTCTTCGGTCTGGGAATGCACATGTGCGGACAGTTTGAACTGTTGGCCGCTGAACTCGACGATATAAGTGGCAACGAAAATTGTGAAGAGCAGCATGAGAAAATCTCGAAGTTCATAAGACGACATAATCATCTGCTCAACGTTGCTGAATCCATCGAAGACGTCTACAACATTCCAATTCTGGTTGAAGTCATAAATAATACAGTGATTATCAGCATATCTGGTAATCGAGTTTTCATTTTATGATGTCGTTGGGGTGATCGTGGTATTTACATTGTTTTTAGTTTAGATTTTATATTTATATTTTATATTTTATTTTATAAAGATCCAACAGCACAAGGCCAATTACAGGATCAAATACATTATATAAAAAATATATCGTAGATAATGAAACTTAATTATAAGAATAAATTATTAATGTTCAGACGGAATAGCGGATGAGGTATGCACATTTTAAAGTAATAAATCAAGTCGAATCAACAAATATATCTTAACATCCTCTCAGTGGCCACGCCACTAGTTGATCATGTGGTTTTGTTGTGTTCGGAGAATATTTAAGCGTCGACAGGACTGATTTTTAATTGATATATGTTAAAAAGAGAAGATAAAATTATTTGAAGTTAAATTTATTGGACGACGCTAGGTTAATACTCTTATCTTTTCATTGCAGTGGATAATGGCACTTGGTTCAAGCATATTTTATGCTCAATTGGGGGATGGATATTTCAATTCGAAGATGATTGTTTTGTATCAGGCCGGGTTGTAGCAACCCCTTAACCCTAGTCTGGTCACCTGACGGGAAAATGCGACTTTAGTCATCTTCGCGGGAGAGTAAGCACTTAACCTCCACTTTTTGACCCTTATATTCTCACACTCAGTGTCTGACCCTTATGTTACACTTGAGAGCGCTTGGTATAGCCCGGGCTGATACGAAATAATCATCCGAGAATTGAAACATTCATTCCCCATTCGAGTATAAAATATACTTGAATCAAGCATATTTCATTCTTGCAACCGGATTTCAATGAGAAAATATTCAATGGAAAGGAATTTTATATTAGGGATAGAGGAAATCATCTCTCAGTGATTTAATTTATTAATTTGCATTATATATAAATTTTTTTCTATTGCTCCCATCTTAAAATTCTAGACATCACAATTGTTTCAGGTATCATATTACTGTGGGCCTTCAAACTTCGCAGTCGTGCAATGGCGATACCGAAACTTATAAGAATTTACCTCTTCTACGTTGAGATATTCATGGTCAGTTATGTCGGGCAAGCCCTGTCAGAAAAGACTGAAAAGCTGCAAGAAGCTGTTTACAATATACCTTGGTATAAAATTCCGAAGCGACATATGAAGGCGCTTGTCATTGTTATGATGCGAGTTAAATATCCGTTCCAATTGACGGCGGGCAAAATAGCTCATATGAACTATGAAACCTACAAAAATATCATCAAATCGACCTTTTCATATTTCTCCGTTTTCCGACTTGTGTTGGAGCAATGAACAGGATCGCTCACAAAAGCTCAATCCCCGCTCACACGGAAAAGAGAAAACGGCGGACAAGTTCTGAGATCACAAGATCTTTGCTTAAGATTCATACGAGGGGAGAGCTTCGGCTGAAAATTGACGAAAATCTTGTGGTTTAGAATTTTTCACCATTTCCTTTTTTTTCGTGCAGATAACCAATTATTAACAGAAACGTTATTAATCGAAAATAATGCATTCAGTTGTGTATTAGCCACTATTTCACGGCAATTGTAAGATTTTTGTTTCACTAATTACAACTGTAGATATAATTGTAACCCTGGGCATCATCCAGGGCATGCAATAAATATACAAAGAGTTTTAGCAATGTATTTCAATATGCTGTGGATTTTTTTGCTTTCCAATGGCAGCTTTGCAATCGTTCACCTAGGAGTGGATTTTAGTCAATTTTGAAAGTGGACGTGTTAGGAGAAAATTATTTGGTAAATTTCACCAACTAGTTGTTGAAATTTAACAACTAACTAATTAAAATTCAGAAACGATTTTTCAATTTCATTCGACAACGATTTTTCAACTAATTCTAACTTTCAATCTAAGCGGGAATATTTAGTATCAAAATTTTTCTTGATTTGTATTAATTTTCATGGCATATTTGTATTGACATTTACATTTTTCATTGATTTTCCCATAAAATTTCTAACTCTTAATAATTAAATTATGTGAAATTTCAGACGGAAAAAAATTCCAATGAGTTCACGAAAAGTTTCAGTCAAAAATTTTTAGTTAGTTATTTATGAAAGCAACCAGCTGGAACCTCTATTTCAATAAATTCACTCATTTTTTCCTACAAGTTAGATCGTGAGGGCATACACTCATTTCGGGGTGCTGTACTTATATATGCAGGATGTGACGCATTCATATTCAACATTGCATTGCATGTTTGTGGTCAGTTTGGAATACTGAGTTCAAACGTAGAGAAATTCGAGGATGAGGAGGGTTATTTGAGGCAGAGACATGGAATTAGAGAATTCTGTAAGCGCCATGACAGACTAAATGCACGCTTTACTCAGTTGATTAAATTAGGATGGTTTTCTGTGACAAGCCTGAATATTTTAATCTGAGGAACTGTTTCCCCTTGCGAAGGCAACGAAACTGGAGTGGCACTTCCGTAACTGTACGCTTCCGGGGATTGGGGCTCTTGGAATTTGCGCTTACGGGAGGACCCTTCTTCGCCAGCGAAAGAGTGAGAGCGCTGAGTCAGAAAGAGATGCATGTAGAGGCAATGGTGGGGGAAGAGCCACTAAGCGAAATGCGCGGGACGTCCTGGCGCATGGGAGCAAGCGAGCGAAAGCGGTTAGAGAGAGAACGGACATAGAGGGAAATTGTAATGGTGGGGGAACGGTTCCCCTCGTGCGGTGGGACGGAGTGTAATTCCAAAAGACTCGGGATACTACAGCCGTGGATATTCAATCATTTTTATGTTTCTGCGATATTGTACGTTTACACAATAAAAATTTTGCCAGGACAAGTAAAACTGCTCTTTCTTTCAGAGACTTAAAAGTTACATTTTTATGTTATACAAGTATATCCTCATTTGGTAATTGGTCCAGATCGGGAGGTCCAACAACCGGAATGGTCTCGAGAATTCCTTCGATCCAATTGCCATAAATCGCCACCTGAGAATAAAACCAGTCAAGCATAATTGATGTGAACTAGAATAAGAACAGCAAATAATCTTACTTTTGTGAAAACTGTATAGTACTGAGGGTCACAGGTGAAACTCCCTATTTTTCTAGGACTGATGGAAACAATACCATGGAGATCCCAAATGGTGGAGTTTTTTCTCTGGAGTACTAGTCCACCACCACTGTCTCCATTACACACTGAAGTGCCATTATTCCATCCAGCACAGAACGTCGTATACGTCAAGTATTTTCGAAAATCTCTTTTTTGACTGTCTCTGCACTCTTCCTCGGGAATTATTTTCTCACTAGTGACTCGAAGTCTTTGACTAATTGTACTATTTTCTGTGATACCCATGCCTGAATGGGCAAGATCAATCAATTTATCATTAATGAATTTGAAAAATGGAAAAAAACCAAAGATATTTCATCTCACCTGCTACCAAACCCATTTCTCCACCTCTGAAAGATACGTCAGATTCCGGAGACCAGTTCAAACACACGGGATTAACCCGAGAATTGATGAGCGCAGGTTTATTCAAAACGATAATAGCCAAATCTGATCCGTAGTTTCCTTCGTGATCGTGATATGCTCTTTGTACTTCGATTCGTGAAACGTCAAAGATTTGAGTATCTTCATCGCTTTCGTCGAGAGTGAAGTTACTGGAGAAGCCAGCGAGGACCACTCGAATGGTCTTTGGATCGGTTTTCCATACACAATGGCCAGCTGTGAGGACAACTCGTTCACCAATTAAACTACCCCCGCAGAAAAATGTCCAGTGACCATTTTCGTGGGAGAATAGAGTCGCATGCCATGGTAATGGCTCTTCTGGAGAACTTTCCCAACCTTTTACGATCAGTGCTATGGCTGAGAACGAGATATTACTTTCAATTACGAGTAGTGCACCGAAAAAAAGTAATGATTCAAGTATTTTTTCTACTCTATTCAAGCAGGAAGGCTGTGACCCATTCAGAGAGATTTCTCTGAATTGTTCTGATTTTTCATAAGTTTCCCCGGAGTAATGAAACTGAAACTTACAATTCCCACAAATTTCTCCGCAAAATTATGAGTTTTCAACGGCAAAATTCCTTGCAAATTTTTAAATGTGTAGGATAATTTGGAGAAAACTTACCTGAAGTTTCTCGCACACCACACACGGGTCTACACCGCAGAGGAAGTTGACTCCAAGTTCCATCATGGAGACAAGTAATGTGTAAAGCACCCGACTCCCTCTCATAAAATTCTGGGCACTCTAAAATGACTTTGGTGCCGACTGGAATGGAATCATTGCAAGATATCCATCCCTGTCTGGGTCCCCATAAGACTTCGCACCGTTTTCTCGTTCCAGGTGAATTCAACGGAGGGCACGTGATATCCTGACTCTCTGGGCACATCGAAACAGAGTTTGGACTCTGAAGAAATTCCTAGGGGTGACTACAAAAATTTGAGAGTATTTTACCAGAAATGCAAGTTGGTATTTGAGGAACCCACTGATTATTCTGACAAAAAGCAGTGGTGGGTCCTTCTAGGGAACCTCCAGCAGCGCAAGAGAAATTCAGACCGGTAAGTTCAGGCACTATTTGCCCCGGTCGACAAAGGGGGCAGTTGGAAACCGACACGTGAACTCCTGGTCTGGGCATGGGTAGGCGGCAAGCACCCTGGGGAATAGGGACTCCGCACATCGACTCTTCTTCATCACTAAAATCTTGACAATTTGGCTCTAAATTGCACTTCAACGACGCCGGGATGCAACCCCCATATGCACATCGGAAATATCCGCTAGAACAACTGAAAAAAAGCTCGATTTTCATTCGTCCGTTGCTTCGCGCAAGTCTCGAATGTGAGCAAGTCTCGAAAGCAACGGAGAGGAGTGGGGGGTCCGTTCGAGTATTAGTGCGCCATAAGAGAAGCACGCTTGCGCACGCGCAGAACTACGAAACGGAGAAGAGTGGGGTACCGTGAGACGAAGCAGAGGGTTAAAGCACATTGTGGAAAATTTTGGGTCGAAGTTTTTAGTACATTTCTCGCACTGAAGTTTCATTAGAATTTTGAAGAAATTTCGTCGTTGAAGATTCTAAATTTCATGGTAATGTAAATGAAAATTGCAGAGCCCATGAAAAATTGTCTTGTCTTGACAGTTTAAAGGTCTCAAAATAAGATTTTATGAAAATCTTGATTTCAGATTTCGAAAATCTCAAAGTTTTTCATATTTCAATCTAAGAATCTAAAAAAATCTTCATTTGAACCTCGAAAGTGCTAGATTCGGACTTTGTCTTCAACTTGAGTTCTGCAAGTTCTAAAATATTTTTTTTGTATTAATTTCGATTCTATTTCAATTTATTTCCGTTTATAACAATTAATTAATAAAAATTAATTAATTTATTTCCTAGAATTAATTTATTTAATTCTATTCAAATTTAAAATTTAATTATATTCTTGTTTTTCCACTTAATTTCAATTTTAGTGTAATTTGGTCATTAAAATTGTCCGTGAAATCTGAAAAATATTGACATTTTCCTTCCTAAATTCAATTCGATGTTCCTCTCCTGGAAATGACTCTTGTGTCTAATTATTTACGAAATTATTTCATTTTTCAGTACCACAGGAAGGATTAAAAATGTAGTTTTCTCACTTTTTATTTGAACAGGTGTCCAAAGCCTCATCTGTCCCATCGCGGCATTGGCGAGTTCCATCGCAAAGTCTGGAGATGGGGATACATTGCCGCTCACTTAGGCACGAGAATTCATCTGATCTGTTTTTCGCATAAAGAAAATTATTCTCCCGAATAATTTATTCGTTATTCACGTGATTTTATTATCACTTTTACTCAATATTAAACATTCTGATCATTCACTAAAAGGCAAACTGTTCGTTCTACCTGCAGTTATACTGGAGGCATTCATCACCCTGGCAATTCATAGCGGCACATTCCGAAGCCTCTTCGTCGCTTCCATCGACACAATCATTCACCCCGTCGCACATGACTTCCCGGTGTACGCAGCCGCCATATCTGCACTGATAGGAATGTGCTGGACATGGAAAGTCCCTGCACAAAGTTTCGCTCTCATCGGTGCCGTCAGCACAATCCAAGTAACCTTAACCGTTATTGTTCAAATTATTTCCAACTCATACGAAATTTATTAAATCAGGATCATTATGGAAGAGAGATGTATAAAAATGACTTGACATGTTACTGACCATCACATTACATCGAACTAGAATGTTTCGTCGTGGAACACAATGTTGAGTTAATTATCTTAAAAATATTCGCGAAATGTTCCAACTTGATAATTTCTAACAAATATCATAGATATGTTGTTCTAAAACTTGAAAATGCTCCTGGAATGAGACTTATGCCCGGATCCTACTAACTGTCGTCGCGATTTGCAAAGGGAAAAGGACGCTTCTCGTTGAGCCATCAAAAAATTCATCTAATACCCAAAATTTTAATTAATGTCCCAGTCTCGGTAAATACTCAAGTGAATCAACCGCAAATCAACTCAAATTTTTATCAAACATTTATTGCGCGTCATTGTATTCCAAACTATTATTGTGGCAAATGTTAAGAAAGAGGGCCCCACCACCGATCCGATGGTAAGTTTTCAGAAAGATCGGTGGTGGGGCCGTTTTTCTTAATATTTACCCCTTTCCGTTGGAGGTGGAGCTAGAAAAGAGATAAACAGAGCGAAAGAATCTCCCTGTTTCACTCTCACACGCCGAGAGTAATTTTACTGCGCAGTCCCGTCGCGCAGAGGGACACACAGATTTACCCAAACGGATTGACGTTGTCGATGGTGGGGGGAGTCAACTTCTCCGACAGAAATGTTAGGGAGTAACCACTGTAATAACAAAGTCAAACCTATTTTCAACTGAACCAAGTTATTAATCACAAAAACAAGAATGAATCTCTCAATTCCTCCCAAATTAATAATATATAAACCGTCATCTCATATTACTCGTAAATTTTCCTGAGAGAGCTTAATTGTTAGTTCCATGGTATCGCCTACTCGATGCACACTAGTAGTACGACCTGGAATTTGTAGACTGCTTCAAGGTTTCATGACGATAGGGGACTAGTTGATTATCAAATACATGCATTCAATGTATTCAAATCAAAATTAATAATTGTAAATACAATTCCATAATTGCAAATATGAATTATTATGAAATGCGACAAAATGGTATGAGACGAAAAATGCATAACTGTCAGTTTACATCTAGCTAGGTAATTCGAAATAGCAGCGGAAAATATGATTGGAAGTATGACATGAGATAAATAAGCGTCAGATCCCTGTTATGAAATTACCGTTGCAAGTTTTCGAAATCTGAATACATTCGAGAGATCCTAGGCAACGATACTCTCGGTCTGAGCATTGCGGCAGTATATCGCAGTGGAGTTCGTCGCTTCCGTCGATACAATCTTGCCGACCATCGCATCTAGATGATCTTGGAATACAAGCGCCGTAATTACATCGATATGAAGAGGATGGACATCTAGAAGGGAAATTGGTTCTCAATGATTTTGTGGGAAAAATTTTAGTCACACTGGAAGATTTTGGGGGAAATTTCTATCGCGTTCCGCTGAAACTTCAGCGAATTTCATCATTCAAAGTTCATGATTTGGTAGAAAAATTAATGGAAACTGCAAATTTTAATTTAATTATCTCATGAAAATTGATAGAAAATCGGAAAATTTCAATGAATATATCCGTGAATTGTCAATCAATTCAGTATAATTATAGTATAATTAAAATAATCTTCCCAATGTCAACTTGACCGAGTTCGATCATGAGATGGACGGCACATCTGTTGTCGAAAAAATTTATTTTGAAAACAATATTCAGGGAAAGGAAGAAAAAAAATAACGTTGGGGTAATGTTGAATTCAATTTAAAATACAGCCCCATAGAAACTCCATTCGAAAGCAAATTGCTAACTTATTACCAAAAATATCTGGACTACACAAAAAAATGGTTTATTTGAATTAAATAAACTTTATTTGAATCGAGTAAATCCTCCATTAGAATCAAATGAACGATTCATTTTTAGTCAAATATAGTTTATTTAATTCAAATAAATCATTTTCCTGGGTGTACTGTGACGAAAAAAAATTCTCAGTTGTTTTCCTAACAGTGCAGTGAAAACTTACATCACATGATAGCACAATTTCTGGATTTCGTCGGACGAATCGGGACAGTCCACAACTCCGTCGCAAACTTTCGTCAAATTAATGTTTGATCCATCGGTGCAGACGAATGGCGGAGGACTACCGATAGATTCGGCGTACAGTTCACAATACTTCAATAACAAAACTGAAACGATTAGCTTGAACATCTTGCCACGTTTTTATCAGTGAGACCAGATATTGTGAAGATGTCAACTTATATAGAGAGAACGTTTCTCCACAATTTCACGACTGATTATGCAAATGCCCATTCTGGAAATTCTGATCGAGCTCCGAGATGTGTCTCTATTATGTCGGAAAATGAGTTCATTCAACAAGACTATCGCTAGGCCGTAATGTATGAATTACCACGGATGTGTTTCTCGGAAATTTATTGATGATTCTTTCCAGGGATAGCCATATCCGTAAATTATAGTTACTGTTGAATCATCAACTAGCGATTTCGTTAATATCACTCTTAAAATTTAATTATTGAAGCAGTCAATTCGAATATTCAAATTCCGAATTATTGATTAATCAGTAATTTAGTTAGGAAGATGCACGATTATTTGGATAATTAAAAATTCCTTAGAAGACATTTAGTATTATTTACTTGATAGAAAATTTACAGTTGCATATTATTAAATATTGAATTTCTTATGCTAAACAAAATCTCGAGAGAAAACAAACAACGCCAGCGCTTAATAAAAGGATTGAATGATGAACTCCAATTTTTTCAGATTTTTTAAGCGTCGAGCCATGCGTAAAAAAACTTCTGTCTTTCGAATATCTTCCAGAGAGTCTTGGAAGAATGTTCGGAAGTTTATGTGAAAGATGTTCTTGGTGAACCAAAAAGATTCTTCAGAAGACAAAATCTTTCAGAGAAAACTTCGAAAGATTTTGTAAGAGAATTTTTTTTAACATCTTCGGGAGACTATTTTTTTTTCATTAGAAGATAATTTTTTTTCAGAAGACAATTTGTTTTTGATAATCTTTGAGACTTTTTTTGTTTTCTTTTCTGGTCAAAAAGATCTGACTTTAAGTTTTTAGATCCTCAATTTTTTTACCCTTGAAATGTTGACGATGCGATCGCAAAGATTTTCAAAAAAAATGTCTTCTGAAGAAAAAATAATTGTCTCCCGAATATCTTCAAAAAAAATTGTCTTCCAAAGATCTTCTGATCTTCAAATTTCAATTTTTCCTGAAAGTTGAGTGTTTTGATCCCGACATTCATTGCGCCGAACATTCTGAGAAATTTACGCTGAATATTGAAAAAGAACGCCGAATCACAATAGCACGAGTTTTTTTTTTATTGGTTAATAGCACGAGTTATGATTATCCATTCTGCAACCAACAAATTTATTCCAATACCAATTTGAGAACAGAAAAGCATGAAAACATGATCCTAGTAATGTCCTTGAAAGCCTCATAATTCATAACGAAAATTCCACCAGCCGTCAAATAACAAAAAGAATGATTTCTCATCATAATGAATTTAATATCTTTAGCACTGCTCGCTGACATATTATACCAGGAACAGTTGTATACTGCGTTTTGGAATTTTTCAGCTTGATCGCATAGCTTTTCACCAACATAAGTATACATGAACAGCTCCATATACCAAACATATATTCTTATTCCAAAGTTGATATCATCATTATTCACACTCCCATTCTTGATGTTAGCAAGAACTGCAATCCCTGAACGTAGAAAATGCGATTTGTAATTTTTCCCACAATAATTTTTAATCTTACAATTTGTCCGTGTATCGGATCTTAACGAATCCACTAATTTTTGAAGCTAAACAGTTGAATTCAGTAGCGAATTGGTCAAACGGTTCATGTCGATTTTGGCTATTGGCGAGTTTTCAACGAATATCTCGAAATGTAAGGGAGCTAGCAAAATTTTTCTTATAACCTTTTTAGTAGCACTCAATTCGCTCCACAAAAAAGGTTATTATAAAAATTTCGTTATCTCCCTTAACCCTCCTGTAGTCGCCGTCTTCCCCGAACGTCGTTGGCCGCGTGGTGAGCGCTGCGCCGTCCGTACATTCTCGAGCGCAGCGTTGTCAGAGACATCCGACACTATAAACATATCACCGGCCAGCGACCCCCCACTCCGCACACGCCGCTTGGGACTACCACGGGGGTCGGCAACACCGTTCGTCAAATTTCCACTACGAGAGCGGTCGCACGGTGAGCCCTGCGCGCGTTTTCGCTAACCGCGCTCGACAAAATAATTAATTGAGAAAAAAATTGTCCGTGCAGGTCAACCCTACCGTGTTTAATCTCATCAGGACATTCCATTTGAGGAACTCGTAAATAGGGAGAGCGTAATTCATCACATTTCTAGAGATATCGTGAAAATAGCAAAAACGGCGGCGTTCAGACCATAGCGCCACCACTGGAGGGTTAAATTCGGAAACTTGACTTGAACCATTTCACCAGTTCACTACTGAATTGTTTACCTGAAACACAAATGAGGAAGCCATTGCTGAGAAGTTCCGAGAAAATAATTAGATTCGCCATGTCGTTGAGCTGATTGCCCAGCGTTAGTAATTTATTATGTCGCTTCAAGGACTCTCTGATTCTTAGCCTTTGGTTCAAATGACCGTCTTCATCCGTGATTTTTTCTATACTTGAATTGAGTATTTCAAATTGACCACAAATATGCAACGCAGCATTGAACATGAATGCATCGCAGCCTGGGTATATGAGTACGGCGCCCCACACGCTGAAAAAAATCAAGTAATAGTGTAACAAGTAGGAACTGGTGGGCATGGTAACAGGAATCCAGCATGGAGGTCCCAATATGAGATTCCGCGCTGATAAACTACTGTTCTCCGTTGTTTCAATAATGAATTTAGGAAGCCGAGATACTGTCATCTCCAGTACAATGATAAATGCTGCGGTAATTTGAATGCTGTAAGCTAAACGCCCCCAAAAGGCGTATTGGCTCATAATTTGACGAGATCTTGCGTCGGAAACGGTCGACCAATCTTCCATTGCTGACTGGATAATGTGGCGCATTTGTTCCTGCTGGAGGCAAGGGAGAAGAATTTTCATCGCTGTTACCATGAATACAGTGATTCCAGTCAAGGCCTCTATGAAATTTGGCATTGACCCACAGTTTCCATGAACGAAGAGGCGTTCCATTAGCGACACAGCCGCAGCGATCTTTATCAAATCGGCCGTGATATGTCACTGAGGGAAAAACGGCCGAGTTCTCAAACAAGGCTACTCGCGCAAAAAAAAAAGTGCAATACAAAAATCTTCATCAGATGATGGCTGAGGAAATTTTCAAAGAATTTTCAATTTTATTGAGGCCTTTCCTTAAGAGGTGATCGCTCTGTCGACTATTCAACAAAAATACAAACAGAGAAAAATTTGTCTAGAAAATTAGGATGCTAACATCTCTTTAGCGGATCAGGTTGGAACTTTCAATGTTTTTGCAGTTTGTATATAGCTGGAAATGAGCATTGTCTCGATATGCAAGAATTCCTTTGAAAACTAGAATGCTGAATGTAGAATTTTCCATGGAAAAACCGCAAAACCACTAGGGTGAAAATCGAATTTTTTCAGAATTTTCTGCACTATCGTTTACTCGTAAAAAAAAATACGGAAAAGGGCGGGGAATCCCTCATAGGATGACCAATTTAGTGTTAACATCCAAGTTGTCGTAATTCCCTGTCATTTTCGTAGCATTTCCAGACTAAAAAAATTCCCTGACAATTCTCAGTTTTCCAGATTTCTCTGACGGATGGACACCCTGAGTATGAATGAACCGCTCCTGGAGCTAAATATTTCGTTGTCGTTTAAACCAGAGTAATTATTCAGGTTTGAGACTTTAAAATTCGAACCAATTATCAAATCACCTTCGAATCGATTATTTTTTTGATAATTTTCAACTAACGATTTTGTTGGCCTGAACAAGACTTGTTTGAGAACTTGTTCGTTCTTCATTGTCAGTGTAGCAGTCGTCTCGGGGTTGATTCGTTTCGTACCTGAATTGTAAAGAATAATCCACTTCGTACGATAGACGACGTTTCATTGCGTTGCCAAGGCCAGACACCTACAGCTCTGCACCACAGCTTCGAGAAGCCAAGGGCGTAATGCATATCCCGATTCCACTGCAACTCATGAATTTCTTCTTTGTACTTCATTGCAGGAACAGTTCCATCGATGTTTGTTTACTTAGCGATGATCAGACGACTGCTTGCGTGTTGCAGCTTATACCCGAGAAAATATTTCTCGGATCAATTATTCATCTGCGTCTCACTCGCCTGCTTCGTTATTAATATTCTAAGGATGTAACTAATGTATGATGTATTATGTTTTTCTGGGAATAGTTCTGCATCAATGAATAATCATCATGTGTTATCGATCCGAGCGCAAAACTTCTGACGCGAGGTTTTCTCCTGTTCGGATATTTTTCGTTGCTGGCGTGTGAACTCCGCGGATGTACGTAAACAGAAAATTCTTCCTTCTTTTGATTTGGGGCTTTGATGGTTAACCTTATACACTCACATAACTAAACATGGATGAAAGCGTATAACAAACAGATCGCCGCCGTAAAAGCAAAGATGTACAAGTACCACAATACGAGGGGCTGCGTAGTGCCACCTCCATGGCTGCTATAAAAGTTCCAATATTTCGAGTACTTCGTATGAAGGAGGTATAAATATTTTCGGTCCAAATTTCAAGTTGATATCTCGATTTTTGCGCAAGCTAGAGTGATTACAAAGTTTTTTATGAAAAAATAGAAAAGGCCCTGATGGTGGATTCTCACCCTTGACTTCTACACTTGCTAAATCTTACCTTTTACTCTGTAGACTACACTGAAGTGTCACCCTCATGGGAGATTCAGAAGAGTCCTCTTGCTTCCTCATCTGAGAAGACCATGGCATCCTACACCATTTAGACTCTCTGAAAGCTTCTGAAAGTAATTATATGAATAGTCTCTAACAATAAGTGACTATGTCAAACACCTTATGAAAATTGAACTGTACATACACTTTTGATTGTTACTCCCATATTTAATGTCAATTATGTGATACATTCAAGGCTCTGGTAGGAACACGCATGATGAATCTTCACGTCTCAATATTCATTACGAAAAATTACAAACTATTTCTTTAGTAATTACATCAGCATTAGTTTCCTTTCCAACATAACAATTATCCACAATAAATAGAATGTCATTAGTCAGTTCCCGTTATTGTAATTCAAATATCAGAGTATGGTCAACGGCCAAAGACATCGCGGAAGGTGTTGGATACTTTATTTAGTTGGACGAGTCAGGACGGATGTCTTCCTCTAAAATAGTATTTTCTTTGGGCCAGTCATTAGGCGATCAGAATCAATCAGCAACAAGGAGGGACCGCAGTGGAATCGGGAAATCAAACTGTTTACGTGAAACGCCTTTCATAAAAATCTATGAATGTAGGAAGCCCTCTGAGCATAACTTGCAAAGAGAGGTTCAGGTTTTAGGATCATTGATTCTTTGAATCGCTCATTATTCGAAGAATACAATGAGTAGGACCACTAAAGCCTTTCTCTCAAAAATAAAGGAAGACAATCATTTCGACACTTTGGGCCTAGCTGTTCGCAAAAGTCGCCAACAAAGGGTAAAGATTTCAGGAACCTTTCACTAATTTCTAGGGACATGTCACTGATTTCCAGAAATCTGTCAATCATAGGTGATACTGGACACTGCCTAGAATAACACTGATCATCAGTAATTGCTACCTCTGAAATTTGGTGGTAGATTCTAAAAAATTGGAGATGGGTCTGGTGATGCCGTGAGACGGGATGAGACGAATAAGGAATAAGGGGTACAAAAGGTATCGTGCTAAAGGCTATAAAGTCAGAGTTAGTGAAGACAAAAATCTCGTTTGATGCAGTTAATACGCATGCTATGAAGAATTTTGAGTTACCTTCGTGATCATAAACGTAATTTAGTCTTCAGTACCCTCCTTGCAACATCAATTGAAAAAAGACATGCGTTCAATATTCGGAAGTCGTGCAAAACTGAGGTGCAAAATTGTGGGTGAATGTCTTCCTCATTTCTGAGAGGCACATCCTCATCAAATAAAGGGGTACTCTCCCAAAGTGGTGACCCCAAACCTTGAGCCTCTCTTTGTCCGCTCTAAACCGGAATCTAAACTTGAACTATCCGTCAAAATAGTTCCTTCAAAATAACTCCAGTTGTTCACTGTTGATGATTACCGCAGAACATCATCTTAGCGAAAGATTAAATCAAACGACCTAGCAACACAACTGCGGCCCTTCACAGTTGAAGTTAAATGCAATTTACACAGTTGAAGTTCAATGCAACAAGACTGCGAAGCAGTTTCATAGGCAACACACCTATTTTTCCGCACAATGAGAATTCACTTGCTGATGTGCTTTAGCATGACAATTTTGGCGCTAACAGAAATATTCTTCATATTATGTCAATGAAGATCGATTATGCGCTAGAACACGCACGATTAGTTTCATTCATATTCCGTTCGTGAAGTTATTGTCGATGCGATCGAGAGCCGTCTCTAATTGACATATTCGATATGAAATAATTTGAGAATATCATTTCTACTCGCATTTCCAGGAAATTGATCGTCAATTGTCATCGAGTGATACAATTGTACACAGCAAAAACCGCGGGCTGAGGGAACGATGTCAGGGTCCATTATGGGATTACAGCGCATTTCAACATTCACTCGGAGTATTAAGCGTCATGAGATACTTTTCACTAGTTGAAATCACTCTGCTCGTTTCTCTTCGCATTGTGTATCATCAAGATTGTGCAGCCAATTGAATATCATCATGTTTCTTTCATACTTCGTCAACTGTTTTCCACGTTCTCTTTCCACATCGTTGACTGTCAGTGGATGATCGCGTGGTTTCCGCAATGGTATTGTTGATCCTGGTAGTGCTGACGCAGTACCTGGTACAACCAGCGTCGCACCAGGTGTCGCCTGAGCTGCTGATGCTGCAGCTTCAAGCCTATCAAGATTGAATTCGCTCTGTGACAGGCGCTCCAGTGCACGGTAAGTTGTCAGTAATCTAGAACAAAATAGAATATTTTATGTCATAGGTGCCCAGAATCGCGGATTCCGGGCTCTATGACATAAAATAGTATACGCAACTCGTGCGTAATGGTGAGAATGACAGAATATTTGCAATCCGATGAGGAAACTCTTACTCACCTGCGTCGAATATAATTCTGTCGAACCTTCTTATTAACCGATCTAACTAGGTCCGCAGCGGTGAACGGTATAGATTGTGGATGGGGGGTAGATAAGTGTTGTTGTGCAGTACCACCATGCGGACTGGGTAATTGTGATGTACTGGCAACATCACCGACAGCCACCCAGGTACTACACGATCTTGATGCATGATCTAGTCTTGCTTGCTCCAGCAATAAGCCATTACGATGTGCTGAGTCTAACGCTAATGCCGAGACGGCCGACCGAAGCCCCTGTGAACATGCGGCTTCGGGTGATGATAGTTGAAAGACATCAGTGGTACTGAAACTTTTTTGAAGACCGAGAGCTGATGACAGCGCACCGCAACTGCGAATGAGCTCGTTTTCTTCTTCGAACCATAGGATCTCTGGTATGTCCGCTGGTCTGAAATGAATCGTTGAATCGATGATTAGATGAATGGTTTCTTAATAATGAAACAGACCTCTCGATTTTAATAAATAATCGATGATAAAATTTCAAACTCGACTGTAACAAAAATTCGACAGAGGCTTTAACCTGGCGCGGTCTGAGACAAGGGCTGCCAGGGTTAATGAAAATCCACAAAATATTGTTATTCGACAATGATAATAATATAATAATGTATTGAATATCGTCCAAATTTCTTAGCTCACGTAATTCGAATGCGAAGTTTGTAATTATATATGTTAAAATAATTAACTAAATAATCGACAAATAAACAACTGAATCCTATGGTAGTTCGCTAGATCCCCGAGGTCAGGGAAATCATATCGACGCGAAGGGAAAAATGGTATCATTTGTCACAAGTATTGGAACATGTTATTGATCTATGCGTAGCAATGGGAGATGCCTTCATGGAACTTTCAGTTGAAATCAAGGAAAAATGTAAGGGAAGATGTCAGATCAACCTTCGAACCTCACTTCAGAGACTGTACAGAGGGACCTCCCTAACTGCTCACCTACGTAAGTGCACGCTGTCCCACTACACGAGGGGAAGTGTTCCCCCACCATTACAACTCCCCTTTATGCCCATTCTCTCTCTAACCTTTTCCACTCTCTGTCTACAATGCGCGAGGACTATGCGCAATAGCATTCTGTTTACTCAGCACTTCGCCGTGTGTAGTTATTCGTGAAACTACACGCATCTCTTTCTAACTCAGCGCTCTCGCTCTTTCGCTGGCGAAGAAGGGTCCTTCCATAAGTGCAAATTCCGAGAACCCAAACCCCGGGAGGCGTGCAGTTATGGAGGTTCCACTGTATTTGGTAATACTGTATTCTTAGGGTCTATCAGGAATTTTGAGATTAGTATTATATCCATCGTAGGAGACCTTGCAGCATGAAAAACACTTTGTATTCTCACCTGTTACTCTGATTTTCACGAGTATCTGGATTTGGTGATGGTCCACGACCCACCAGCTGCACATCACTGTACGACTTGAAGCCTACAAGACGATTGGCTCCCTTGGCATCACTGGCTATTGATGATACGCTGAACAAGGATAAATCCGTCGTAACGCTCTCGTGACTTGGAGATCGTAGCATACGACACTGTGGTGGTGGCTGAATCGTTACCATTGTGGGAACAGTCGCAGGAACTGGAGATGCCGAGTTTGGTTCTGTTTTAGACATTGCTTTTTTCTGATGTGCTTTCTGAATGCATCGAATGATTTTTCACTTCATCCACTTCATCAAGGTTCAGATTGGCTGTCCTCGCATCGAAGTGTCTCGAAGTGTCAGCACTTCAGGCACTAGTTTAAGCTTGAGCTAAAGGAGTTTTGGGACTTGAGACTTTAGCCGAGAGAATCCATTACATTAGACCATTCAATGGCCAATGCGCTCATCCCTGTACCAGATGCGTAATCACTGAAAATTATCATCGATTGATGTACCATGTCATCGGTTCTTACCACCTGGACTGGTAACCTGTCCACTTTCACGAATCAATTGACGACGTCTGGTTCAATTTATCGAGCGATTGAGCATCCTACAATGATGATTGGTATCGTGAAACGTCAGAGTAGACAAGTGGATATGATTGGTATCGTATCTGCGGAAATTGGGATATTTAGTCGATCCTCGCAAAGGGATGGGGATTGTAATGTGATACCGTAGTAAAATGTTGATTGGGTGCATCAATTCACTTGTTCGATTAAACTTTCTGGACTGGTGTCAGAATTTGGGGGTGAGGTAGACCTATCTGAAACAACAATTTACAGGTCAATTACAATATACTGAGGCCATTCGGGTTTGAGGCTTTTTCATCCGTGATTACTGATATCACGATCGGGGGTTGAGAGCACGCCGGAGTGAGGACTGCACGAAAGTGAGTTCAGAGGAAAAGTCGATGAAATTTCAGATATCTCTGATATCTGAATTCAAGTAAAGCCCCAATTCAAGAATTAATTTTGAATGAATTTCACATGATATTCACTACCAAATTCCCTGGAATTTTCAGGGAAATCCTTTGAAATTCTTGGAATTCTAAGAAGTAATAAAGAAATTCCCTGAAAAATCAGAGGAATCTGGAGTTCAAGGATAGATTCCTCTGAATTTTCCTGACTTTTCATTAATTATTGCTGAATAATGAATCTGAAATTCACAGTTTCTACGGATTTTTTCGTAAAATGATGAATTTCCAATGACAAAATTTCGTGAAATTTCAGTGGACACTGAATCATACTCTCATACACTCTAGGGCCACATCGATCACTAGATTGTGCTATGAGCCGCCTGTAATATAAGCTTCAAGGGCAATTTCAAAGATAGCTTGGCTATAACTTTGTTAGTCGCGAGTAAATCGTATATTCTGCACAAATAGTGTATTTTACAAGGCTGAAAAATTCGAACGATGGTAGAACCCAGACAGCTAGATGGTAAGTGCACGAGTAATAAAGCCGAGCTCGCTTGAATTTTTCATTAAAACATGAATATTCAATACCAAATTAAAAAGTCTTCAGTTTGGAAAAATTCCAGAATTTATTTACTCAAATTTTCCTAAACACTAATTTTCGAAACAATAATGGCATCACAAACTCGCAATATAGAGCAAAGTTTTGTTGATGTAATCTGTCTGTGAAATATACACAAATTTTTAGCTGATGTGTCCAAATAATTTTGGAAATGGCGGAAATATGTCATTGAAAATTCTAAATTTTATGGAAAAGTTAATGTAAACTGTTAAATTTAGTTTAATTATATCATGAAAATGGATAGAAATCAGGAAAATTACATTTTTTCCCCTCTAAATCAGTAGGATCAGTAGAAAAAAATAATTGATCACGTGATTATTAGACACGTTATACACGAGTGATATTATTGAAAGATGAAATAATCAGTAGAATTTGCATTTTACTTATAGAATCTTCAGTGCAAGTTGAAATTGTCCGGAAACTAACCCCCGTCCAGACATTGACCTATTTATACTACTGGAAAAACTTTCAATCCACCGGCTATGAAAAATTCTGGGGCTTTTAAGGTAAAATTTCTAGGGATTTCTGCTAAAATTTCATATGATAACGGGAAAAATTCACGTCCTACTGGATAAAATTACCAGTGCGGGCCCTGGAATTTCTCCCCGGCCGTCACTTTGCGTCCTTTTCCCGTATTAGCACTATTTTCCTACACTGAGAAAAAAAATTTCTCTTGCCAAGTATTTTTACTTGGCACACGTAAATGTATATAAATATCTGCATAAGAAATCTGTGAATTTTCTTGTAGTTAGTAAAAACAAGATACTAACGATACGTCAACATAAACATGATACCGACACTAAACGCAGAATGCAACCAATCGCTCGATTAAAATCCCTGGAGAACTGATATCCAAATTAAAATCCGCACAATTGATTCGTTAATTCCAAAACATTGAGAAAATCTCGAGGAGATGAGTCGGGGAATCGCATCCTCGGGGCAATCAATAAAATTAATGTTGATGCCGGATACGTGTGCGCTCGAAAAAATTGAGCAAATTGTCGTGGCAACACGCCCCCGGCGAGTCACTCAACTCAAAACGCACTCACAGGATCACTGACGCATCCGAAAATTACCTGCGCTCGACACAGTCGAAACAGCTCGTCATGAAATGATTGCAGAACTAGATAAAATTTTAACAGACACGAAACAAAAACGTCAACATTTCGATACACGGAGCTGCAGGTGAATGGCTATTATTTCCGATTTCGCGGTGACTAGTGTAGTGCGGGGGAGATGAGGAGCGGTGTTACTGCACAGGCGTCGATCGATAGGGGCGAGGGAGGGCAAAACACCTTCGGGTCGACAGTTCTCCTCTGCGCGATTGTATACTTTGAGAGAGAGATGGCAGACCATCAGTAAAATGGAAAAATTGCCCGTTTGGGGTTGACGCATGTTTTCAATTTCAGCGTTCCACGTTTGACGAGAATTTTTTTTTTTTTTTGGTCTACTGTTGTTCAACAAATTGATCTTTTTTGAAGTTAAGGGTGCCAAGGGAATTTGGCGATGACCTTGAAAATTGACATTCACCAACAAAGTTATAATTTTTTTAATTAATAGTATTAGACATCGGTGAACATCGGTGACAATTTTAAAATTTTAGAAATTATGGATATCGAGAAATTAAATAAGCAAAATCAGTCTTATACACGGCCTCTTATGGAGTTTTGATTAAATTGAACGTTTCAACCCCCTAGGAACTCAAGAAAAATTTGAAAAAATTTGAAGATATGGGGAATGACGTGTTTAACGTGATGGCGACAAAAAATGGGGTACCGGGGTGAATAAGAGAGATATTTCAACCCGCCGTACCCATTTGATCCCATGCTTTCTCGAGGTTCGTCACGCGAAATAGAGGATTTTCCGCATTTATTTTCTCGATGTCTAGTTCCGGTTGCGGGTTTGAAATTTCGTCGGATGGATGAATACATATTTCTCCAATGATGGAGGGAAAGAAAAAATTTTTTTTGAATCTTTTTTCAAATTCACTTGGCACCCTTAAAACCATCCGTTTGAATTCCGAAGCTTGGGGAGATTGCTCGCTGCACGGAGAGAAAAATTCAATAAAAATGTGGAATATTCGGTAAGGATCAAAGGGTTTTGTAAGGTATAACACTCGGAATTCGTGTACTATATCGAATGAGATTTATTCACAGCAATGAGAGCTGGAACCAGAGTGTGCTTCCGCGACAACCGTATTAATCCTCCGGTCGAGGATGTCCGAATTATTACGAATTCGTGATCGAGCTCGAATACAATAGATTGAAATAATGTGAAATAAATATACTTATATTTATTTAGTAGCTTCGCTACAAAAAATTATTAGGAAAAAAACGTAAAAATTACGTTTCGAAACGTAATCCGCGAGCGAAGTAAAATTCAAGAAAAAGTGTGAGTCGGAACTGAAATTGTACGAATCGCCACGTAAATTCTACGATTTTTTCCGTAAAAATTAACCACCCGTCTGATGACTCGCCGCTGTAGGGACAACAAGTCGTTCCGTAATTTTTCCCCAACGATTGAGAAATTTTACGGAACGGAACGTAGAAATAACTCACCAGCTCATAAAAATTGTTGAACTTTCGAGAATTTTTTATTTTGGAGACACAATAAGTCGGCAAGTTTCTGTAAGATTTTACTTCTTCGGGAAAAATTACGTGACAATTTCGTACTTTGTTCGGTGATGAACCTGAGAATTCACTGAACGCTTCAGATTTCTTCCCTTCAATTCCTATAAAAATTGCCGGTAAACGATTACCTATTGCGGATTACGTGAATTGTACCGTAATTTTTACTCAATATTTCTCTCCGTGCGGGGGAGGAAATTTCGGGTACAGTATTCGAATTGATGTGACATAATTTTATACTACTGTCCTGCACATGTGCTCTAAAATCACCCGGAAATTTTTTACAGTGTATCCTTGAACCGTTTTTCCGGTTCCCCAGTGAACCGATGATCTGCACTGTACTTTTTGCAAGAGAGTCCAGGCGTCGTCATTCCCCGGCGCCTCCCGTGCACAATTTTTTTTTTAATACGGGTCAGTATTTTTGTTACTAGATGAGTTCATTCCTCTACGTGCCTCGAGTTGTGCGGAATACAAATAGATATTTATTCACATGTACATATGCACATAAATGTATTTGCGAGTACGTGGGCGCTGACTCTGGGATGGTAGGCACCAGTGTCAGCCGTTTGAGGCTTCTCTCGAACAAGAGCTGGCAGTTTAGTTTTAGGTTCTAGTGAGTGACGGTGTCTCTCGAGCGACGGAAAGAGTGTGTGTGCGTTTCATTGACTCTTTCGAACATATACGCACAGCGAGAATTAATTACGGTGGCACTTCATTGGAGGTGGGAAGAGAATTTTCATTTTTTGAGATCGTCAGGCTACGCGTCGTCACTATAAATTGGTAAGAGTGAAGGAAGATTGCCTTCGCACATATGAAAAAAAAATCGTATAGAAATTTTCTACATGGATTGCGAATAGAAATTCTATAGGATTTCCATATATGATATTCCGATATTTCTATACGAATTATTTTTATACATAAATTTTTACATAAATTTTTGTTTTCATTCGAAAGATGTCTAAACGCTCCGGAGAAAACGTAGAGAAATGTTGCAACTCCATAAGAAATGTTTCTATACATGTGGCAGTGAGTCGTATAGAATCAAACCTATAGAAATCGTGTAGAAATAATTTTCATAAAAAATATCTGTATAGAAATCATATACGAAAATTCTGTAGAAATTCTATACGCAAACCGTACAGACAATTTCTATACGATTTTTTTTAAACCTGGTGTTTCCCGTGAAGAGAGAAAAGCAAGAATTTTTTTCTCAAAAATTTTTATTGTGGATTTATAGAGAACTTATATGTGTAAATCCACCCAAAAATTAATGTGTGTACATCTGATTTTAGCGGAGCCGCAGTATTTAATTCTGCGACATCGATAATATTTCATGGATTTTATTTATAAATTCAGGGCTGCACGGGAAATTTTACTGAGATGTTCTCCAGGAAATATTGAATTTAGAGCAACAAATCCTGAGAGAATAGTATTGTTAAGAAAGAGACCTCTTTTAATAACTAATGACTTTATTAAATGAATTTGGGGGGGGGGGAAATAAAATAATAAAAACTTTTTGGACGAGCACAATCACTACTACGAAAATTACCATGTTTGCTTTTTGCGTACACTTTTTCATCAAAAAATAAATAAATGAGTAAATAAATAAATAAATAAATTAGTAAATAAACAAATGAATAAATAAAGAAATCAATAAATGTTTGGAGTATTTGATAACTCATTCTCTCACATTTCATATAAAAAGTGGGCGATTGAATCACTTCCGCATAGAGATTGGCACAGAGATCAACATCTATTTCAGTATCAACTCTGGAGTTAACCATTTCGCTATCTAAATTGTAAACAAACTCGCGTTAATTCATTCGAAGAATAATAAAAACAGTCGAAACTGATTTGATCTTGGAAAAAAGAATGAATTTTTGGGGATCCACGTGGTTGCGTGGATCCGAGATTTCGATGCCTTCGATACTCCTTCGTTTACCCCATCCTCGCGTCGTTTGAAAGTCAGTCAAGTATCAAATGGCACCGAGTGGATGTGGCTGAGGGGAAAGTGATGACATAGATGGGAAACAAAAACAATCGTCACGTGGTGGCTGTCTACGTTAGAGAGATTTTATCCTGATAAAAATAAAAATTACCGTGCCGGTAGAGTAAAAATTACTGCACTGGTAGAGTAAAATTTACCAACTGTTCTAAAATTTTCGTTGTTATTTACATAAAAATTATTGGACTAGAAGGGTAAAATTTATTATTCGTCAGGATAAAATTTCTCTAACGTAGAATGAAATTTGATCATCATATATTAATTTTTATTAAATTTTGGGATAGAAATGAGGAAACGGTGACCCATGATACACTTTTATAGAACGGTAGGATAATTTTTATCAAAAATTTCTCTCCGTGTATGAAACTCATTGTGTGGTATTTTTATATTCATTTCAATGAGAATATTTTAAGTATATGAAATACATAATTCATTCATTGAAAACCTCGTGCGTTAGAATCAAACGAATGATTTATTTCGTCCGAATAAAACACCATGGCATGTTAATAAATTCCATCTCTTCGCGCTCTGAACACTGATTGCACATTTAATGAATGAAGTCCTTATTTGCATTAACTGAACATTTGTTTACCCACTCGGTGTGAATAGAAAGGCAAATAAAAATCAAATTTAAGTTTAAAAATTGTGTTTTCATGACTTGCGCGTAAAGTAAAATTTTTCGCATGCTCCGCGCAAAATCCTGCGAATTGAGATGTTTCTTTCTTCGAACAAGTATCATATACTTGAACTAATCTCAAATAAATAAGATCCTACGGGAATATCAATTATTTCTTCTTGAGATACATTTCCTTGAATCAAATAAAACAGTCCTTGGCGTCGAGTCACATGTATTCACCACAAAAATGGAAAAGTTCTATTTTTTTTAACCTAATATAATCTCCAGTCGAGAAATTTTCTACTTTCATGAATTGATCAAAAATTCGTACCTGGGAGATGATTACGTTGAGGAATGAATTGAATGTTTTCTCGAATGAAGCCGATGTTTAAATTGAGCTTTGCGTACATCACATTGAACGACATTTGTGATATCCAAGTTTGTGTTGAATTGCCGTAATCTGTGACTCTGTTATTGTAAACTAATGCGATTTTTTTTAGTCAAGAAATATAAACTTCTTTCAACTCAACGACATCTTACTACAATCTCAAAGCTTTTTCCGCGTAACAATATTCATCCTGATTCGACATACGAAATGCTCACTTCAATTATAATTTACTTGGAACAACGTATGATCGTGTTGATTGAGATAACAACGTATTTAGTCATGAGAATAATTTTGATTTTTGAGTAAACCAACGAATTTCTGGAGTTGGCAAACGTTTGGCTAGAAAGAAACCAAATACTCTCATTATTGCGACAAATAAAAGGAACTTCAATTCTAGAGAAGTTCGATCTCTTCGTGTACTATCAAATGTATCTCAAGAAGAGATAATTGGTATTCACTATGAAATCATGTTCATTTGGAAATTAACAACCAAATGATGAGACTTTTGAAAATCTTATTGTAAGACATGAAATCTTGAAATAAGCTATTGTTATTTGGGTGTTGAATTCCACAATCGCGAATCCCTAGCAATTTATGATGGATTCCTGGAAATCAGTGACATATCTCCGAAAATCGAAACTTGTTTTCTCCGTGAATATCCCACCATGCACATTGTAAAAATGCCACCTTTGTCACGTAGATTGCTCTCGGCGCGATATAAATTAGAACGTAATTCAAGGGGAACAGCAGCCATGAGCTGAATTGAAGGCTCGTTGAATGAATTACGCTGTTCCACGCGAGTAGAAAAAAAATGTGAAAATGTCAGTAGAAATTTTCCAACGCCTTGAAATTTTTTCTTCAGCACCGCCCAAGAGGGTCCCATGGTCTTTCTCCAGACTCAGTTCCTATTTATAAAGCGTCTGGATGGCATTGGAGTTCCAACTGAATTACGGATGTAATACATCTAATACACAAGCCGTGCGAATAACTCAATGCAATTCATAAGTTCAAAGTCTTTCTCAGTGTTGTCTTTCTATGAATTCTACTCCAAAGAGTGAAGATAGCATCGGCATTTGGATGGGCACGACGAATCTCTGACTCTGCGACATTATAAAACACTCATTTTGCAGTGGATGTGTTGAGACACGACGACTATTCATAGCTATGGCCCATTGGCCGCGCCCTCAACGCGACGGTTCCCAACCCGTCTGTTACTCTCATCATTTCACTTTTTTTATTAGTTGAAATACAACTAACCATGCGAAAAACTGCTATTATAATCCATTATTCTTCATGGAAGGGTGAATTTTTAATTTCACATTAAACCAAAATGTTTCACAATTTTTTTCTGAGCAATGAGATTAGCGATGAGACGGTTATTGGCCTCTGCGGTCGTGAAGCGATGAAATGAATTAGGACTTTAATGTAAGAAAAAGCCCGACGTTTCGGTCGTATTTGCGCAGCCGTCTTCAGGGGCAGAGTTTATTTAATATAAAATGTTTAAAACATAAAAATAAACAATACAAGAAACGTTACATAAATCACAGAACGCTTATTGCCATGAAAATACTGTGAGCTAACACTAAAAGTCTCAAACATGAATAATTGTTCTGCTTTCGACAGCAACAAAATATTTGGCTCAAGAGGCGGATAATTCACACCAGACGGTGTCTTTTCAGGATGAAAATATCTCATACAGAGGAAAATTTATCAACAAATATTTTTATCAAAATCTTTTTTTTCAAAAATCCCCAAATATAAATTTTATATTGACTAGGGTCGGTATTGACCACAAAGATCCACAATAATAATTTTTGTCTTCATCTTTTTACAGAACGAGCGACAATGGATTCCCTGCAGAGAGGCACCGTCACAACGAACAATTCACTCTACACGCCCCCCACGGGGGATTCCCCGACTGACGGCTGCGAAGTTCGTCTCCAGGCGCGGGCAGAAACGACCCCCGCGACTCGGAAACGACGAATGATAGAACAGCCGTCGTCGCAGACACCAAAAACTCCGAGACAGGGGTTTCCAGACCCCGACGGAGATGAAACGAATCGAGAGACAGACCTCCCCGAGAGCAGGGAGGATCAAGCTCTCCACGATGATGTCAGACTGACCAAAAAGCCGCCAATGCATCCAGACGTTTCCGGGAAACGTCAGGTCGAGGTGCAAACATTGAATCGAAGAAATGACTCAGCGAGACTCAGAAAGACCATTCAGTGGCTTGAGGACGGCGCGCGAAAGCTGCGAGAGGATCTCGCTGACGCCAGATCCGAGCTCCATGAGGAGAGACGAGCGTCGAAGATCCTGAAGCGTGAGGTGGAAGTGGCTGTACGCGAAGCTCGATGTGCGGAGGCTGCCAAACATCAAAAAATTATTAATGAACTGAAATTAAGACTCGCGCAATCGCCCTCGCGTGCCCCGGATTCAGCCCAACTGAACAGTGTTAAGGTTGAAATGCTGAAGGAGGAGAATCACAGGCGGGAAATAACCATTGCCAGAAAAAGACTCGCTGAGGCGGATGAAACGATACGAAAGCTCAGGTCAAGCTCTCTCGATCCCGGTGGCACCGACATGAATAAAAGACGCAAGTTGAATGCCCCTGATGTTCAGAGAATGGATAATGAGATGAGACGGTTACGGGAGGCTAATAAACGACTCGAGGAGAAGCTGCAAGTGCGTATCAAATATTCGATCAGTTTTTGCTTTCGATGGACCCACACGGAGAGAATGTAAAATTAAAAATTGATATGTGAACATAGTAATCGAGGACGATACCGGAAAAACTTTGAAATTTAGTTCATTTTAAGCGAACGTTTGCCATGTGAAATTCATTTTTTAAGATTTAACGTAGTAATTTTTAACGGGCAAAACAGTATGCACGTAAAATGCACGGACGGAAAATAATTTTCAAAAGTGTTGAAAATGGTTCATTTGTTTACCAATTTTTACTATTGAACGACGAGAAATTACTATGTTGACTAGTGAAAACTCCAGCGGACGACGAGAGTGTCGATTGTTTTCAATTCTTGGAGTCTCCTCCCTCCGTCGACCGCGCAATGGCCCGGGTGGGGGATTCTATAATTCTAAAAAATCCAATCCTTCCTCTCCCCCCGCCTCTTTTTCACAATGAATGTACGTGGAGCAAAATTATTAATAATAATTTTCAAGGATGATAAAGAAGATTAAATATGGTTTTTCACTTCGGTTATACAAAAAATCCCCCTCTCCCTCGTCCTCTTTCGCGAATATTCATTTTGAAAGGGGGAGAGAATATTTTTTTAAACGGCGAAGTAAAAATTCATTATCCTCATAAATTTTACTCGTGTCAATTGAAAATTTAACTTTTATACTACCATTTTCCAAAAGGAATGAAACAGAAAAGAACTCCATCAATGATGAAGATGAATGATAAGTGGAAAATTGATGAATAATTTTGAATGTTTTATCAATTCCCTTTCCGTTTTTAAAGCGATACCCATCAACACCCGTCATTTTCAGAAAATAAGGGAAATATTATGAATCGATATCCTAGAAATGTGAACAATTTTCTTGAATTATTCAGAAAATCCGAAAATTTCCAGTCTTCTAGTGATGCGCTTGGAGCTCTCCTTATCTATTGCTCTTTCGTGATCTACTGAGTTTGGATCCAGTCGTGAGACTAGATCGATCGTCTTCTGTTTTACCGCGGGCTGAAAATGTAGCGCTGAGTTACCTTATACATTTAGTCGATAAAATAAGTCCCAAATTTATTGGAAGAATTTTCGAGTATAGGCTGTGGGTAATGTGGAATACTTGGGCATGCTTTTTCTAGTTTTTTTTTCACTCGCATCCCGTAGTGCAAAACAAAACAAAATATAGCGGAAAATCCTTAGAAAATCCGTTCCCAAAAACTTGGAAAAAATCTCAAGAGAAACGTTCAAACAGAAAAATCGAGATCTGTTTCGAGAGTTTTTCTTATCAAATATCTAATAGAATCTGCGCAAAAAACAAATAGAATTTTAACGAGAATTCACTAGAATATTAGTAGAATCTCCATAGAATTTCTAGAAAATTTCAATAGAATTTTTTAGCGAATTCGCCAAGTTTTCTATTAAATTTTTTCATTTGTTCATTTTTGAAAAAATTAACATATCAACTTGTTTCTCCGTGCAGTAGCACATGCTCGCTTTTATCTGCTTGTTTCACGTCCGCGTTTGCTTCTGCGTCTAATAATGGTGCATCTGAATAAATCGTGAGACAATTTAACCTTCGAACCTTTTAACCTTCGAAAGATAAGAGAAAAATACTCAAAACCCTTTCAAACGTAACAGATAGTCATGAAAGCCTTTCAAAATATTTTGAAGAGTTATTTTATTTTTTCATGCTACTCAGATTGTCACGGAGGCTGAGCGAGTCCGTACTTTTGAGCTGCGAGTCCAACACGAGAATTACGAAGCCGAGATATGCGCTCTCAAGAAAGCACAGCGCACCGATACCATTAGAATGGTGAGTCATCCAAGAATGCACACCTCCCACTGGGAGAAAAAATGTGTTTTCAAACAAGTCCTGTTTGAGCAAAAAAATAAATAGTTGGGAATTACGAAAAAATAAAATCTAGTGGTGACCAGTTGAAGACTGTCCGGCGATGGAAAATTTGTGAGGCAAAAGTAGATTTAGTGGTTCCGAAAAATTTTGATTTGTGCGAAACAAGGGAAAGTAGTTCCTCCTTTCGCTAATTCAATAATCACAAAAGAGAAATTAATCCCTAAGGGTATCGTTTTAATGTTTGGTACGGACCCCACTATAGATTCAACCAATCAATCATCAAATTTGTCCATCAAATTGCGAGAGAAAATTTTGAAAAAAAATCATGAATATTCAGCGTCATTCAAATTACATTTACCCAGAATTATGATTTTTTAAAACATTTTTTGTCTATAAATAAATAATTGAAATTGTTTAAACTTCATTTTTTTACATGAAATTGACTTCTGGTGAAATTTTGAACAGTGACAATTTTTTTACGATTCCGAACAGGGGAATTTTATGGTGGAAAATTCATTGTTTATAAATTATTTATATAAAATAATCGTAATTTAAAAAATTGATTTTTCAAATTATTTTATCAATCTTCCTCTAAAAATAAACTATTTTTTTCAGATTTTTAAAATGTTTTCTAACAGTTCCATATCGAGATTCAATTTTAGACCTGCCAAATTTAAATGACAATTAATAAATTTTTCACGATTCCGAACATGTGATTTTAATGGCGGAAAATAAAATGTTTATAAATTATTTACAAAAAATTCTCATAACTGAAGAAATAGCAATTTATTAATTATTTGATCAATCTTCCTCCCCAAATAAACTTTCTATTTTTTTCTGATTTTTAAAATGTTTTCCAACAGTTTAATCTCGAGCTTCAAATTCAGATCTACAAAATTTAAATGACAATTAACCATTTTTTACGATTCGGAACAAATGATTTTTATGATAACAAATTGATTGTTTATAAATAATGTGTAAAAAATGAAAGAGTGGGTCGAGAAATGACGTGCTAGAGCCTCTAAACATGACAAATGTCTCTAAAGATGATGTCTGTTTTCAATTGAACAGCAGAGTTGTGACATCATTGTCTAGGAGGACAATGGGGTCTAGGAGTATGTATAGAACGTTGGCGTCTAGGAGTCTCCCCTGGTTCAAAACCATCTTTAGAGGTCCTAGCACGCCATTTCTCGACC